TAAAGCATATTATAAGTAAAACAAATCAGTGAGGACACAGTGTTTTCAGCATGAGTACCACAGTCATCGAGCCAGAGAAAAAGAGCGACTGTCATCTGACTAACCCGTAAATGTCACTGTATACCTTCTAGCAAGAGTAGTGGCTTTTAAGCTACACCTGCTCTAATAGGATATTTAATGCAGATTTTATTTTATTTTTTTAAATTGCTCCTCTATCCTATATTTAAAAAAAAAAAAAAAAAAAGAAAAAAACCCCACACACACACACACACACACACACACACACACACACACACACGTCTCAAACATGCTATGAAGTCTATTTCTGTGTGTATATGACCCATATACGCATATTGGTTTTGAAGCTATGTGGTCTGGACACAGACAAAGCTGTGAAATTGCCCTAAAAACTGGTTTTAAAATTTATTACAGCACTTCTAAAAGTGAGTAATGAAGCAGAATGCAGTTTTAAAGCTCCCAATAGCAAGCCAAAAACTGTAAATCATTAAAAAAAAAAAAAAAAAGAAGAGATACTTATTACTCCTTTAAACAAGTCAGCAGCTTCCTGCTCACACAAATCAGACTGATTAAATATGAGAATCAAATCGTTTTCTTGGCTTTCATTTTTCTATTAGCATAAAATCAAGAGGAAAAAAGCACTCAAAAGACATGAATAACAAAAAAACCCACATTTTCTTTAATCCCCAATTTTTAATCCTCAACTTAAAGAAACAAACAAACAAGAGAACGAATGACACACAAATGATTTCTCTCACACTGAACTACCTGAAAATTAAACACATTAATAAAAAAAAAAAAAAAAAAAAAAAAAAAAAAAAAAGAGAGAGAGAGAGCGAGAGCGAGAGAGAGCGAGAGCGAGAGCGAGAGCGAGAGCGAGAGCGAGAGCGAGAGCGAGAGCGAGAGAGAACCTCACCTCTCCGATTGTGTAGTTGAGTTGTCTGGCTCGGACGATCATTTCCATCTGAAAGACGTAGCCTTTGGACACACACTGCTCAACAAGACTCTCCAGCACCTTTTTCTTGTATAGTCTGAAGTCAGTCAGTGGAGGAAAATAAATAAAATAAATAAACAATAACAAAAAAAATAAAAATAAACACAGCAGTAGTGAAAGAAAATACAGCTCTAATGTAAGAGTCAGTAGCACTTAATTCACAGCATCACAACAGTAACACCAATTACCTGAAGCTGCCTGTGAGATCTGAAGCACCAGGTCTCAACAACACCTGAGCCAAAAAGTTGGCCCCCCGACTGTGAACAAGAGGAGGAAGGGGAGGAGAAAAAAAAAAAATGAAGAAATATAAAACGTCAGCCTCTTGCCTATTAGGTGAGTGGAAACTGATTACAAAGTGTTAACCCGTAGTGACCTGATGAGTTTCCTGCGAAGGTCCCAGCCGTAAACCCCTCCGTTCCCTCGGTATCGAGTACCAGAAACCAGGTCGTAATTGCCTTCCTTCTGCTTCCTGACATAACAGAAACAAAAAGGTATTTGAAATAAAGGAAAGACACTAAAAACTGTCATCCGAGGCAGAGGTACTGAACAAATATTAATCTCTTGGAGCTGATTTAGTATTTGTTAGCTGAAATATTTGGCTGATACTGAGCTATGACAGACAAACAGTGCTGTGCAAAGTTTTTCTCTCTACATCCGTCAGATCAACAAACAATTAATTTTTTTATTTACTCAGGTTATGTCTAACATTAACACTTGTTTGCTATTCTGTGACTGTGCTGTATGTATCAACATATGTTACCTGAACCAACACTTTACTCTTTTCATACACAACATGCAGACAGTGAGGCTTGGTTTCCTATGACCCAGTACAAAAGCAAGTCTTTTTGCATCCAAAAGAACTGCCCCCTGCTGGCCATTAGAAAGAATGTAGATGAGCATTGGCTTCACATAAAGGCAGCGCGCACATTACTCTAAAGCAGAATTTGTGATGAAATTCAAAATGCTGTAGCTGCTGCAGCACACAGCTACATCACACAGCTCACTGCTACATCACACCTACATGGATTTCAGTTATTCAGCTGAACCTCTCCATCATGCTTGTGTTGTTGGTGCCTATTGGAGTTGTGCCAAAACATAATTTGTACAATTCTGAGAAGTTTAGAAGTGAATATTTGGGTGTAACCACCTTAAATGTAGCCTAAAAATCATTGGCATTCTTAAAAAAAAACAACATGCAGCCATGCACAGATTCACTGGTGTCTGTAGACACTCAAGTGCTACCTTGACTTCTCATATGTTGATGATGATTAGAATTTAAAAAAAAATAAAAAAAATCCAAGTTTCCTCATATTTCATCACAGTGTTTGCAGTTCTGTCGCCACTGATTTTCAGTCCACCATATCCCAGCCTTCCCCCCCCCCCGTTTCACAACTGTAGATTCTTTCTTTATTCCCTGTAAATCACCACTGGCATTGGTCCCTAAAATCCAGCCAGGTAAGTCTGGCTCTACAGAAATAAAAATATAGGAAATGGGAATTCAGAGACACTTACTGAATAAACTCTGGGATAAACTTGGGCTGAAATGGAAAAGAAAAACATTAAGATTATTGCTGACAATAAATAGCAGACAGAGAACATGTTGTACATAACATTTTAGGCACATTAGAAATGGCAGAATGTATACCAGTAACCTGGTATCTTGCTGGTTTGTAGGTAAGAACAATTGACGTTTTAGGCTTCAGGGCAGGTCTCAAACTTAAATGAGCTGTGGGCCACTGCTGGTACGGTCATTTCATTGGAGGGCCACTTTAGTGTTCAAGTAGTACAATAACAAACAAACCTGAAAATACCCACAAATATTTCTGAAAATGTAGTGTTTCGTTTGTTTGTTTTTTAAATTTCAAATATTGTGTAACAAGACAAAACTGCAAATGTGAATACACATTTTTTTAGCCCTTCATTGACCTACCAAATAAGCAGACATAAGTTCACACATTAGTTCTTCAGTGCTGGTGAAAATTGTTTTCTTTACAAATAACTCTCTCACTGAACTAACACAGTCAATCAATCCCTGAACATGTTTATACTCGCTCTTGTTGTCTGCATATTAAATGGTAAATGGCCTGTATTTGTATAGCGCTTTACTAGTCCCTAAGGACCCCAAAGCGCTTTACACAACCAGTCATCCACCCATTCACACACACATTCACACACTGGTGATGGCAAGCTACATTGTAGCCACAGCCACCCTGGGGCGCACTGACAGAGGCGAGGCTGCCGGACACTGGCGCCACCGGGCCCTCTGACCACCACCAGTAGGCAACGGGTGAAGTGTCTTGCCCAAGGACACAACAACCAAGACTGTCCAAGCCGGGACTCGAACCGGCAACCTTACAAGGCGAACTCCCAACTCTGGAGTCACGATTGCCCCAATAGTTTTTTGCTTTTTAAAAAACTTATTATATTAACACTCAACAACAAACAGTAACTTCAAGAGCCAAACTGCATTCTATTTCTTCACGTCAATATACGGGGCCGCAAATAGGGGTGACGTGGGACGCAAGCAGTGTTGGTCAAGTTACTTGAAAAAAGTACTCAGTAACTAACTACTGATTACTTCCCGCAAAAAGGTAATCCCGTTACTTTACTGATTACTTATCTTCAAAAGTAATTAATTACTTAGTTACTTTTTAAAAACACGAACCTGAATAGGTGATAAAGCGATAGATCTTTCAGCCCAATTCAACTTTTTCTACATAATCCATCATACAAAATGTAATCAAATGGAAAAGTCTCTTTTTAAAACTTGTTTTATTAGTTTTAATCTTTTAACTTTATGCATCAAGCAAAAATGTAATTATATGCAACATTGGAAGAAATTTGTTTAATATTTAAACCTATTTTCTGCACATTCCAGCACATAAAATAATTTTTTTGTGTGTTAACACTCATTCTTTCAAATAGATGCAAGTAAAACACAGCAGAAAATAAATAAAGTCAAAGACTGGCGGTCCTTTTGCTCCATTTTCACCTGTAAAGCAGGAGTAGGTTAGGCGGAGGTTTGCCTTGGTGCAGGTGTGCCGCAGCGTTCAGTGGAAGAATCTCCACTGTGAGTTTCCCATTACATGGTAGCGCATTCAGTGCTTGCTTGGAAGTTTAGGGGCTTTTTTCGCTGTAAAAAGAAGTTTTCTTCCCATGCACAATGGACACTAATGTTTTTGTCACTTTTTATGGAATCAAACTTAAAGTAAGGTCAGTACTTCCACGCTTTAAACGCTGCATGCTCATACTCTCTCCCGCACTCGATGTTATCCATTGTTGATCTGCACACAGCTGTTGTCACGAACGTCGCACTCGCTTACGTCACTGTCATGAGACATTCTTGCAAAACAATCACCGTTTTAATAACGCAGTAATGAAGCGTTCCTACGGGAAAGTAACGGTAATCTAATGACCGTTTTTGCAATAGTAATCCCTTTACTCGTTACTTGAAAAAAGTAATCGGATTACTGTAACCCGTTACAAGTAAGAAGTACCAGTAACACGTTACAAGTAACGCGTTACTGCCCATCTCTGGACGCAAGTGGCTCCCGGGCTGCGAGTTTGAGACCCCTGCTTTAGGGAATGGTAACGAATTGTCAGCCGATCTAAAAGAAGTAACTGCTGATATACGATTAACCTCTTAATCAGAAAGATAACCTTAAGAGTTGATGTTGAGACTGTAAGTTAGACATGTAGAATTTTACCACTTACTGTCGTCAAGCAATTAAAAGACGAACACAGACAGTATGACTGAAACATGCTCCACTCACATGATGGGAAAGATCTGCATCCATTATGATGATGAAGTTCCCAGAAGCATGCTTCATGCCGTGAATGTAGGCAGTGCCTTTGAAAGCAAGACAAACATTCTTATGAGCAGATAACAAAATGTACTAAAGCTTACACACTCATTTTGACATAGTTTAATACTTACCTAGGCCTAATTTTTTTGCTCTTGGTCGTAGCAGCTGAAACACAAAATAGTTTAAGTAAATCCTTTGGCATGGACAGTAAATACTATGGCAAATAGTTCCCAAGCAAAACAACGTTATGACATATAAAATGCGCTCTTATTTCATAAATGTATCTAACTTTCGTGATGTACTGTTGGTACTTCTTAAAGTAACATATCTATCTTTACGGCTTTAATACTTACGATCTTGTCCTCCCCATAGACTTTCTGAAGCTGTTCTGCCACCTCCAGTGTCCCATCTGGGCTTCCGTCGTCAATAACAATTATCTCGTAGTTAAACCCACTGCAAAAAAACAAAAAAACAAAAACAAAAGGCAAATGAAATATAAGAATACGGCAGCAATAAGTAAGCTTAACATTACCCTTACAGCTCTTATATTCTTGAAATCTTACACTGACCCATTGAAGCCGAGCAGCTGACACTACTTTAGTGACAGCTCATCATTGACTTCCACCGTTAGCTAGCACAAGCGGAAAGCCTTTGCTAGTTCCCAGTAACTCACCTTTCCCCGAAATACTTGACAAGCAGCCACACTATTAAAGGCAGGTTTTCTCTTTCGTTGTAGGTGGGTAATAGTACTGAGTATTTGTCCCCGCTGTCTCGGTTTGGCCGGGAAGTTTTCCTGCTTGCCATGGCGACGTTGAGCTTGTGCTCCTTCTTCCTTATATTATTTATAGGTGGTTAGCAAACAGCAAAATGGTGCATTACCGCCACCAACTGGTGTGGAGTGTGAACCTAAATGTCAAAAAACGCAACGTTAATCTCGTGCAGTTTTTTTTAAAGATCTTTATTTAATCTTTAAATACAATACAAAGTAAAATTAAACAGTATTGCATTAAAGGTTTTGTACTTCCAGAAATTGTGTACGAGAAACAAACAAACAAACAAACAAGCATTAGCCAGAACATACAATACACATACGCTAGAGAGGGGGGGGGGGGGGGGAGTTTATCTAATTAAGCCAGAGAGTAAAGTGATTGAAGGATCTTCTTTTTTTTTTTTCACATACAACAATAGTTTTTATAGCTTTAGGGTTAGTATATTTCTGCAGTATATAGACTTAAGATATATTAAGGAGCTCTGCCACATTGGCCATTCTGATAACAGATTCAGCCCCGGCTGCCACTTGTAGCTGGAGAGTATCAAGATGGACAGGAATATTGCTGAGAAGATACCCACTGAGAAACCAGTCAGTATTTCAGAGAGCTTTTACCTAGTCAAAGAAAGCTTCCTGTGCAAAGAGTGTCTGAATAGGTGCCAAGCTGAGAGGAAGGAGCTGAGGGAGGAATACATACCATACTGTGTTCTTAACTCAAGAGTGCCTTTCACTTACAGTACTGCATTCATTCATCATGATCATCATCATATATGGAAAAAAATAAGTTCCTGAAGTCTCTAAACCAGAAAAGAAAGACACAGATTCTGATTTTGTCTCATTCAGAGAAGGCCTTCCTTTCTATGATGAACCGTCACTTTAGTGTGATCTTTATTAGTTTCAGACCAAAATACATTTCAAAAGATATTTTAGGGCGAAGAAAATACATTTACAACCTTACAGTAGAATGTATATCAAAGTATCATTTAAAATATATTTAGTGAAATAATAATGATAACAATAATAATAAAAGTAACAATGTTTTATGTACATCTGAGTCAAAGGTCTAGCAAGAATGAGGTTGTTTATTCATTTGCTTACAGTATTTCACATTACAAAATATCTCACTATAATGTAGCATTAACTTTACTTTGAAATTAATTATCTGTCAGTGATACAGTAAACAAGATACAACTGTTTATGTACACTTTCATGTCTCTTTAACAAAAACAAAATCCTCATTCAGAAATCTGTCTTCCATTCGATGGTAAGTGTGTGTATGTGTGTACACTTTAGTTTTTGACAATATAGTACTTAAAGGAACACACTCCACTTTTTTTGGAAATGGGCTCATTCTCCATCTCCCTCAGAGTTAAAAGTGCAGCGTCCTCTTTGTAGATCTGTAGGTTAACAGGACTTTGGAGCGGGATCTTAAGGGATGGGGCGTGGCCAGGATTTTTGCTTGAGGCGCCATATTAGCAGGCCAAACAAATGCTTGCTGTGTGATCCGTTGTACACACACAGACACGCATACACATTTCCACACACATACCATCATATAGAAGAGAGATTTCTGAATACGGATTTTTTTTGTTAAAGAAACATGAAAGACCTCAACCTAAGGTTAAATGTATAAACTTGAACTTGAAAAAAACATCTTCATGACGCAACCGAAAGAATCATGAATCTGAAAAGCGACATGATTTTTCTGGATTTTATTTTGTCGACTTATGAAGTTATATATATTGTTTTGTATATTTTTGAAATTCCTTAAGGAGAAGATTGCTGTTTGGCTGATTGGTCCTAACCAATTACTGTATAAAAAGATGAATGATGCGACAGCACTTCCTCCCATTGGGGGAAAATGAAGCCAAAATATCCCGCTTGTGGGCGCTGCCATGTTCCACTTTTGGAGCCAGAGTCTGCTCAGTAGTAACTCGTGGTGGAGCGTCTCTGGACATGACCGCGAACACGCCCCCTTACGCTTTTTACATAGCCCGGCTGCTTCGTCTCTAATTCTGCAGGGTATGATGTCAATACAATAGATAGATTGCCTTTGGACTCCTCATCCAAAGGCAGCCTGTCACAACCTGCTCCATTAGGAGATGGACCCCAGAAAAGGAGGATGCTCTGAGAGACTGCTATGACACCACAGACTGGGATGTGCTTCTGATCCCACATGGTGAGGACAGAGGCGGCGACACACTGTCATACTTATTATGTCAACTTTTGTGTGGATGCGGTCGCCCTTGCTAAGGTGGTACGGTGTTATCCTAATAAAACCGTGGGTAACACAGGAAGTCAAAGCTGTCCTCAACATGAAGGAGGAGGCCTTCTGGAGCAAAGTGAAAGAGGAGATGAAAGCAGCACAGCCCGCTCACGCCTGGACAAGGGAAAAGGCACGGTCAGGATCCTGTTTCTTGACTTTGAGTGCCTTTGAGGGCCCCGTCTGCTCCAGGAAAAGCTGAACAGGATGCAGGTGGACCCCTGCCAGGTTGCTTGGATCGCCAACAATCTCACCAACAGACCACAGTACATTAGGCTGGAGGACATCAGGGCTGACATTGTGGTCAGCAGCACAGGAGCACCACAGGGTGCTCAGGTAGAGGAGTACAGGAGGCTTCTGAGGAATTTTGTTACATGGAGTCCCACAAACCACCTGCAACTCAACACCTCAAAGACCACTGGTTGTGGACTTTAGGAGGTCCATACCAGGTCCACTGCCAGTTCAGATAGAGGGAGAGGAGATGGAGGTGGTCAACTAGTACAATACCTCGGGCTGTGGGTGGACAACAAACTGGACTGGTCATGCAAAAAAAGCAGACTGTACTTCCTCTGGAGACTGAGGTCTTTCAACATCTGCAGGAAGCTCCTGAGGATGTTTTACCAGTTGGCAGTTGCTGGAGTACTATTCTATGCTGCGGTGTGCTGGGGGAGCAGCACAGCAAAGATGGACTCATCCAGGCTGGAAAAACTAATCAACAAGGTGGCTGGCATAAAGCTGGATACTCTGGTCACAGTGGCAGAGAAGAGGACATTAAAGATAGCTTATGTGAAAATGGGAGAATTGATGATTTAATTTCTGGTTTTACACTAAAATGGTCTTCTAACAGGTAAACATAAGAAACTTTTTTTTTTTTACACCAAAAACATAAATCATAACTTTAAAAATGCAGGATCTGAATCTTACCTTCACAACAGTACTGATAACATCAGCACATCTTCTGAAGGGATTCCTTGACAAAGGCTGTAAGTCTGCAGCCAGGGGTTAATATTTCACATCTGATTTCTCCTTTTTTGCTCTTCTTCCCAGAAAGCAGCAGTGGTTTGTAGCCAAGGCCATTAGTTTTTCAAGCTGCAATAAAACATAATATTTATTTGGTCAATATTGTAATATTGAATAATGCAAGTTAAAGCCACTCAGGGTGATCTTTACCTAGTGGTGAGTTAAGGTTTTTGTACTTGCTGTGTTCGTTTTCTTCTCTGAAGTACAGGAGAACGACTAACTTTTAAAAGACTTCATTTGCTGTAGCAGTTGAAATGACAAGTTGCAGCACGCTGGACCTTGATGTGAATCAGCGATCTGCTTCACAAAAAGGATGGCCCTGTAAGCAGGCAATACAGTTTTATACCACAACAAAAACAAGTATTATTATGACTATCTTCTTCTGAGAAGCAACCCAGTGGTCCTGCCATTTCCCTTGCGAATCTTATAAGAAAAATACACAAAATAATACAGAAACAATTCAACAATCAGACAAACAAATACAACTTAACCAGGATCCAATGTTTTGCTGCTTTGAAATACCATAATTCAAACCTTAAAGTCAAATCCAATCATATTAATAAATGCCATTTAACAGCTAATATAGGACTATACCACAAAAGCAAATAATGAAAAAACTACACTTCCAGAACATCTAGAAATATCTCCACACCTGCACTAATTCCATTCAAAAAGTGAAAGTTGTAAAATGAATACATTCATTCCACACTGATATATTTCAAGTGTTTATTTTTTAAAATTTTGATGATTATAACTGACAACTAATGAAAACGCCAAATCCAGTATCTCAGAAAATTAGAATATTACGTAAGACCAATACAAAGAAAGGATTTTTTGAACTCTTGGCCAACTGAAAAGTATGAACACGAAAAGTATGAGCATGTACAGCACTCAATACAGTTGGGGCTCCTGTTGCCTGAATTACTACAGCAATAAGGCGTGGCATGGAATCAGTCTGTGGCACTGCTCAGGTGTGATGAGAGCCCAGATTGCTCTGATAGTGGCCTTCAGCTCTTCTGCATTGTTGCCGAGTCTGCTGAATATTTAAATATTCAAGGCAAGCAGAATATTCCACAATAAAACCGAACTACAGCTTCAATATCCTGCTTGTACATGAATGCAATAACAATAATGATCAAATAACATGACAAAGTCAAAAGGAACATTTCTAAATATATATATTTCAGCACTTTCACTATTTAAACGTAAGACCAGTTTAAGGAAGAGGACTCCCTTACTGCATTTATTTATATTATATTATCTGTATAGCACTTTAGAGCACACCTTTCACTTTATTAAAAGCACCTTATCAAGCACTTTATTTAGCATTGCACTTTAAGCATGGATTTGCACACAAGAAGTTTAAATATTTATTGACTATTTATTGGGAATTTTAAAATCAGTTGGTAGCCTTATTTCAGATCCTGCACAGCTGCTCCTCATCAAGGAATGTGGTGGTTGTCTGTCAGGAGAGAAGAATGGTGATCGAGATTGTGATTAAGGTTTACCAGTAAGGAAAACTAATGCAAATGTGTGTGTGAAATCTAGGGATAAAAGTGGTGCAAATAAGTGTAAGATAATGATTACTCACCTTTCTTGCCTGTGTCCTTTTCAAGGTGTTTGGGCAAATGTTTCCCTGGGGGTCCAGACACCATTTAAAGGTTCCGGGAGAGACCATTGGTAAAGAGAGTGTGGTGAATCTTTTTGTGCTTGGGTTTTTATAATATTGGGTTTGGTGTAACATTAAGTGTGAAATATTTATTAATATGTAAATGTGAAAATGTATTTATGTATTTATTTATTCTTATTGATATATTGTATACTGTGATGGAAGGTTGGGATTTAAGAATTTACCTGAGAGTGGAATAACGGTTAAGTCTGTGACAGCTGAACATATTTAAGGCTGCCAGTTGTCATTAGAGGATGGATTTTTGTGCTGTGAAGAAGCTTAACAAATTAATTGTTGTAAGGAGAGCTGTATAGCAAATAAATGCGTTTTTTGGTTCCACTACACTTGCCTTGGTCCATCTCACTGTGTTTCCAGCCGCTAAGGGCCGCCCTGTTACAACCAGTAACCGAGAGTTTATTTTCTGCAGTGTTGTGCAAAGTATTTGAAGGGAACAAGAATTTCCCCACTTCGGTCCAAATGATCTCCCTTTATTTTGACAAATACGCTAGGATTACTGCAGCCCCCCAGCTCGAGACTACTACTGCAGGCAATTTGACAACATTTTGCTTGTCACTTACAGGTTGGCTGTGCTCTGCAAAATAGAGGCCACTGGAAACAATGATCTCCTCAAGATGGTTGAATGAAGAATTATAACACTATCATGTTATTTTTTTCCACCCTCCTAACATAATTTCATTACATTATGACTTTTTGTTCCAGTGACACAACACAAAACTGCAGTTTTGCGTTGTTGGGAGCTTTTAAGGACCAGTCTTGAATCTTACAGATTTGATAAGTGAAGACTGGATGTGTAGTGAACAGAGCTCGGATAATCTGGACAAATTACGCAGGCTGCATCTGCAAATCAGAACCAGCTTTAGATTTGATGCTGGCAGACAGGCATGCATGTCTCAGGGTGATTACACACTAACACATTGTGATTAATTACATACATTTTTATACATTTTATTAACAAGATTAAAAAAAACATAGAAAAAGCAACAAAAAAGATACACCAAAAGAAATATTATCTGACACTGTATTTCTCTTTCTTTTATACACAAATTCTTGTCACCAAAGCTTTGAAAATCATTAAATGTAAACACAAATAAGCAATTAGAATTCATACAGTTTAAAATAAACATGGATATCCAGATACAGTTAATATAATTAACAATATAACAATTATCATACACGTGGAAAGAAATGTTCTCACAGCATCATTTATACCATGGAAGAAAAAGAAGCTTTTCCACCATGGATTATGCAATTTCATTCTTCTTGAGGCAGTTAAGGTTAGAATGGCAAATGAAATACACAGAAAATAACATATGCAGCTAAACTATTTGGCATTGATACAGTGCATGAATACAGAAACGTGGCAACAAAGATTTCAGTGCGAATACATTGTTTAAGGCAAGACTTTACTGATTCCACTGGGAAAAGATCTCTTATGAAGCTATCCATCAACTGGTAGGTTTTGTACGAAAAAGCTCCCTAATTGTTCTTAAGTGAATAATTTCTTAGCTGATTTGAAACATGAGTGAAGATTTTAATAAGAGAAGAGAGAGACACAATCTTCCCTTACTATTTTCTTTTTCAATGCAGCAAACCTCTTCAAACCTCTTCAAAGTTCTTCTGTGCTCCAGTGTCAGTCTTTTGCTCACTTCCAAATTAACCAGTCATTTCCTACAGATGTCAGTCACCTTACCACTGCCTCCTGCATGTTTTCTCCATTCAAGGCTGGTAGTCATCATAAGAGTCTTCTGTGTGAAGAAAGAAACTTGAAAAGGATGCCGAATAAGTGAAAATGATGTCAAAGTTACCCAATTCTGTCAAATGAGAAGTGCTTTGCAGCTTTGCATGGCTCACAGCTGAACACAGTCCACAGTGATTTAGTCACGTGCAGCTACTAAAACAAGCTGGTTTAGTTCATCTCCTTTTAAGTCAACCATTCTTTAAACCATCTGTCTTCTGATTGGCTGCACCTCATAAACGTAAGGTGTGGACAGCAGATTGGGACTTCAGCACTCTCAGCCAAAATGATCATATTACTATATAAGAAACACCACCACCACAACAACAACAACAACAAAAAACACACACCAGAATGTGAGAATAGAAATCCTGCCTACTGTAGCGCTCCTCTTACACCAGACAAACATGCATGTACTTACACATGTACTTCATTAGTTAACACAAAACAAAAAACAGGCCTGGATCTTCATACTCATTACATTCACAGGGTTGCATGATTAGTAGCCTTTCTCTAGCTGCTAACCTGTTTGCTGAGGAAGCATGTGGCAGCCTCCGCTGTTGTCACAAACACCCGGTGGTCCAATCTCGCCCGGCTGACCTGGTGTTCCGGGGATCCCAGATGGCCCCAGCATACCATTTTCTCCTTTGGGACCTGGGATTCCCAGCTTAGACTCACCAGGAGGTCCTGTGGATACACATTTTAAAACAGTAATACTACATTTTATTTTAGGTGCTTATCAAAACACTCATGCTACGAGACAGTCAAAAACAAGGAGTTTATCATTATTCATTATTAGCACATATAGCAACGGCTGCTTTTCCAAACAGCTGAATTCTTCTACTGGTTCACCACAGGGTTGTTGTCTCTCTCCTCTACTATATTTTTGTACACTAATGACTGTCGCAGTACACAGGCTAACAGGCATTTCATTAAATATGCAGCTTACAGTCATTGTAAGCCTTCTTCATGGTGAAGAGGATTCCCATTGGCCTGTTGTGGATGAGTTTGCTTCTTGGTGTGATCAGTCATTCTTAAAGATCAACACTTTGAAAACTAAGGACATGGTAATTGACTTCAGGAACCATTCCCCCCATTCTGCACTGACAGTAGTAAATGGTGCAGCCATTGAACTGGTGGACAGTTACAAGTATTTGGGAGTTGTTCGTTATAAGGCTCTGTCCTTTGAGTCATGTCTTGCTGCTACAGTGAAAAAGGATCAACAACGAGTGTACTTTTTAAGGAGACTGAGAGGTTTTAACTGAATGATGACCCTTTTTTATAAAGGTTTTATTGAATCTGTTTTAATGGTCTGTATCATTGCTTGGTATGGTAATGTGTGTTTGAACAATAAGACCAGACTTAGTAATCTGGGTAAAGTGGCTGGTCAGATTTCAGGGAAGTCTCAGGTCCAGCTTGTGGACTTTTATAACAGGCAAGTGCTGTGGAAGACAACCTCTGTCATGTTGTGTTCAGACCATCCTTTCTTTAATAATTTTCAGCTGCTTCCCTCAGGTCGTCAATATAAAGTGCTTGGAGTAAAGACCAAGAGACAGAGTGTCTTTTGTACCTGTTGCTATTGTCATGGATAATAATACTAAACATAAGGGTTGTTGCCATTACACATTGCACTTTGTTGATGACAAAATTTGGGCTGTTCTCTCTGGGCTTTTTAAAAATATATATTTATTTATTTTTTTGTGTGTGTGTTGTCTTTGTTTGTTTTTGTCTTTCTGTGTATGGACAGACTGCAAATCAACTTCCCACTGGGGACAATAAAGTTACCATTGACCATTGACATCATTTCAAGTTTGGTAACTTTGAATGTGTGTGTGCTTTTATTATGTTACTTATACAGAGGTACCTGCTAATCCCTTGACCCCTGGGTGACCCTGGACATTGGACCCTGCATCACCTTTGTCCCCAGGCACACCTTTCCTTCCTGCAGAGAGGGAAGAGACAAATCAATGTGATAACTTTGGTTAAACATCAAACTGTAAGTGATGTTTTGCTTCCAACAAACTATCTACTAAGCTTACCTTGCTCTCCTGGATATCCAGGCCTGCCAGGTGTTCCCCTTGGGCCTACACGACCCTGTGAGCCCCTCTCACCCGGTGGGCCCTTGGGCCCTGGTATTCCTGGTTCCCCTGGAGGCCCCACTGGCTCTTCAATTGGAACTGGCTTACGACCGATCTCGTTAATGAACATGTCGAGTTTTAACACCTCCTCTGAAAAAGCAAAGAATAAAAATGTTTTGGCACTCTTATTGGACTCTTCCTCACAGTGAGGAGGGCAAACAGCACTGCAGACAGTATGCATTTCTGACATGCTTGCTTTTAGAGTGCTTACTATGTACTAGTTGTTCACAGGCCTGTGTGACCAGTTGGTAGATCATAGCCATGGACTGAGGTTCTCCCTGTAAAAAAACAGAGTTACAAACTGTTTGTCCAGATAAAGTCAATTGAAAAGAAACTGAAACATTTTAGAAGGTATTTAAAAAGAAGATCAGATGCCATTACAGCTGATCTATATGAAAAAAGAAGATAATGATGATATAACACACCTTTTCTCCTCTTTCCCCTTTATTACCTGGCAAGCCCTGTAGTGTAGAGTGTAAAGATAAATAACCAGCTGTAAGGACAGGTCAGACTTTTATGTGATATTTATTTCCTAGGTCTTACCGTAGGTCCCACAGGACCTGGGGGGCCCCTTTCTCCTATAGGCCCTGGGTATCCTGGCATTCCTTGGAAACCCTGTTTAAACATGATAGATAGAATATGCTAGATGCATAAACCTACAGTGAGTCAGACACAAAGTCCTGATAGCAAACAGTTTTATTATACACAAATGCAGCTACATGATTGACTTTACTTGATAAGGTCAGGACACATAAAAGAGCAGCTCATTACACCTCACTAAGGAGGTGAAGAACCGTTTCCCAGTGGTTCCCCTTGGAATTGTTAGTCTGTTTGTCTATCAATCCCACTTCTCAAGTCCACTTTCACTTGCGTAATTAAATAACATACTACATTAGTTTTTAAAAAAGTGTACTGTGTAATATGTGTAATAACTACTTTTTCTGAGTAATGACCAAACACTGATCACAACAGAGAGGGGAAATACCTCCGACATGCACAAACATTTGACCACACAGCATGCAAATCATTTGCAACATATAACGTAACGTGCATGTAATGTCTTTGATATGTTGCTTAGCAATGGTGGTGACTCTCAAAGTGGAGCCAATGAGAATCCAATGAGTATCAATAAGAGAATTGATAAGGAATTTAATTAAAGTGATACCAATAATTGAATAGGAATTGCTAAATTGGTAACAACTTCAACCTCACTGTATAAAAAATAAAAGAACCAAATGAACAGCAGTTGAGCTGAATGTTGTTTTCTGTGTTGAACTACAGTGACCGTATTTCATTTCAAAGTTTGATTAAACAAACCCACCGGCACAATGTACATTTCAAATTCCTTTAATTTTTTTTTTTTTTTTTTTTTGTGTCCCGTTTGGATCTTTAGCCATCAGAATTGTTGTCTTAAGGCCAAGAAAGATGCCAAGCGGATTTATTTTACCAAGTGGATCATCATGGCCTTGCCATATTGGTCCATTTGATTGACCTTTATTATAATTATGAATTTATTTTATTTTCAGTTGCTACAAACGGGACAGACATGACTGGGGGATAGGACAGGGAGAGAGAATGAAAGAAAGAGAGGGAGAGAAAGAAAACCAAAGGGGAGAAGAGACGGTGAGAAGGGGGAGAAGAAAGAAAGAAAAACAAACAAAAAAAACAAAACACCTGGGTCACCTGTATGGAGAAAAAAAACAGAAGAGAAAGCAAACAACAAAGAGCAACATAATAAAAAAAACGGCACCATCACAATAAACTAGCTAGCAGTAGATATCAGTAGATACTAAATAATAAACGATATTGTGCAGCACGCAAGATAGACAGCGTACAATGTGCTTTGAGGCAGCAGCCAAGAAAGCTGTAGTCCGCGTCTGTGAATACCCGTGTGTACACCTGTGTGCATACCTGTGTGGATCAGCATGCTTGCATTCCAAAGGTTTCCATGTAACGATCTGCTAGGGAGTGTGGGGAGCCACAGCCCCGTCCTCCAGGGTATGAAGCAGGTATGGAGGAGATCAAAACTCCAGACATCCAGAGGTCCCCAGAACACAAGAGACCAAGGAAGACCAACAGAGGGGCAGCCGCGCCACTGTCCCAGTAAGAGCTGAGGAGAGTCCCAGATGAGGGCTCACTCAGCAGCCGCGGAGCAGAAGCCAGGGGGGGTTGCAGTGACGCGCCCGTGAGCTCCGCCGGCAGCCAGCTGTGCCTGAGTGACCGAGCCCCAGGCCGAGAGGCCGGGGGCACCCCACCTCCGAAGTGGCCCGAGCGAGCCCCAGGCTCCAGGCCCCGATAAGCGGCCGCCAAGGAGTGAGCCGGTGTGTACCCGGACGCCCACCCCCAGACACAAAGAACCACCAACGCACCGACACCTGAGGGAGTCCGCCACTGGCAGGGGAAGTGGTGGGTGGAGATAGGCCTCCAAACCTTGGAGGGCCTGAGATGTCCCCAGAGAGGTGGCGTCTGATACCCAACCTGACATATAGACACAGACATACAGGCACACACAGACACAAACATCCATCCCCACCCTCATGCTCTCATATGCACTTACTCCACACTCAACCAACATGGAGACAGACATAAAGAGACGCTGTACACACAATCACACTCCCCAAGCGTACTCTACGAACCGGGTCTAGGTACCCTTGCCCCTGGAGGGGGGAACTGCACCCAGACCCAGGTGGTGTTACCCTTTTCCCTGCGGTGGGGAGAGGCAGACCGCCCCGACTCCGCAGCAGCAGGGAGGCCCCACACTCCAGACCGGAGCTGGACGGCCAACTCCTCCTAGCCCCCCCCGCTCCAGCAGGCCGCAGAGAACGGGGGTGAGAGAAGACTCCAAACCTCCCTCCACCCGCTCATTGTAGTGTTGATGCATGTGTGTTCTAAGGTGCAATTAAAACCCAGGAGGGCATGGAGCTACCTGCCAGAGAGCAGCAGGTAAGCACATGGTCCCTCCTGCTAGCCCTCAATGTCTACATGTATTTAAAATTGAGAGGTGGGCAACGATGCCAGGGGTGAAGTGTACACCCTGATGGTAATTTGGACTCTGTGTATCGTGCCCACCCCCAAGATCCTATATGTATGTGTAATGAGAGAGTGTGAGTAATGTGAATGTCTAAGTTGTGGGATAAAATTGAGGCAGAGGCAGCCAGAAGGGGACAGAGGGGGGGGGGGGGTAGCCTCCTCTGCACCCTGGTGACATACCCCTACTCCAAGGCCCTGCATGTGTGGGTGGTTGTGGTGGAGCGGGAAGAGGGAGGCAGCTGGAGATGGGGAGGGAAGGAAGGGAGGGGCAGGTGACCCCTCCCTGGGGCCAGCCCCCCCGCTGACCCCAGTAGGCACTCCCATACTCCGCGACCCGCCAGGGAAAGGGGGCCCAGGCCCATCCAGACCGGGGCCCAGCGCAGCAGCGCCCCCCGGCCCCACAGAGCCCGGGACAGTCCACCCAACCCCACCACAGAGAAAACTGCACCCACCCCACCATCCACTCATCTTCCAGACTACATAAGACAATAAACACCCAGGCTGAGATCTTCCTCCACCTCTCCTGTATCTCCCCCTCCTGCAGAGAGTTCCTGAGGAGAGGAAAGCTCCTGCAAGATGTGACAATCTCCCCCACCAGTTGAAGAGCCCCCCAGGCGGCTCGACGCACCGGCGGCACCCTGCGCCAGGGATGGGCCCCCATGCACCCACCCGCCCACAACCTCGGCAACACACAAACCAGGACCCAAGGCCCCGAGGCCCGGCCAGGGCCCCAGCCCAGAGACGGAGCACCCCCAGAACCTCACGCCCATCCCGGACCCACCCAGGGGCAGACAGGCTACCAGGTCAGTAACCCACGTCCGTCAGCACAGACCCTCCCCTAGCCCCGCTGCACGCAGCCGCGAGGAAACAGTCACCCGAGAGCCAAAAGAGCCCCCACCCGGACATGACCGCTACCCCGGGTTGAGCCCCCCAAGGAAGATGCCTCCGGGGAACCCCCCTTTAATTTTAAATATGTTCATATTGTCTATTCTTATTTAATTCACTTAATATACAGAATTCACCTGCTTGCTGCTTACATGCTACTACTGCACATTCACCTAATGTATATATTATATATGATGTTCTTCCTCCCCCCCCTTTTTTGCACAAGTCGAGGAGCGTGTCAGGTTACATTTCACTGTGTGTTATACCTGTATAACTATGCATGTGACAAATAAAGAACCTTGAACCTTGAACAAAGATACTTTGTCCTGAGAGTGGTGCTAGAGGACAGCTTGTGTAGTGTCTAAAATGGAAAAGGTTCGTTCACAGTCTAAACTGTTCCCTGATGATAAGATGCACTTTCTCAAACTCAGTGTCACTGCCCAAACTTAAAATTGGCAGCAAAGGCAAAAATGCATACAAACAGATGAAGATGTATTTACGCTTTACCCTGGGTCCAGTGATGCCGGGTGCGCCCATGTTCCCTTCCACACCTCTGATGCCCTGTGAGAGATGTAGCAGAGAGATGAGGACAGAAACAGAGCTCAGCTTGATGCATTCTGTGCTGACTGAGATCAAGCAGCTCACCTTGGCACCTGCGATTCCCTCCTCCCCTTTTTGACCTGGTGGTCCTGGTACCCCCTAGAGAGACAGAGTAGGTTGAGACAGAGAGCTGTTAGAAGCAGATGGTTAGGTTCTGGTGACTCCATTACTTCACTTTAAACTTACCTGCACTCCCGGTCGCCCAGGATCTCCCTTCTCTCCCCTTGCTCCTGGTGGACCCTAAAGAAATTAATACGAGTACGTTTTTGCACAATAAACTATCCACATGGATGCACATACATTTGTTTGGCAAAGCTTTCACCATAGTTACTGTATTGGTACACATTTAACCCTCTGGGTTCGACATTATATTATAGTATTTTTTTAATGAGTGTACGTGATGTGTTGGTTGTATGTTTGTTGTTTGTTTTGACATACTGCGAATCAACTTCCCATCAGGGACAATAAAGTTACCATTGACATTGACCATTGACAGATGGGCGAGTCCAAATGACATGGTTTGAAGTGCAGACTTCAAACTATATACCAGCTTTTAAATAGTGTTTATATCCCATCTAAAATTCGGGTTATGATAAATAATTTTCAGCATACTTTTTCCTGAGTACTGTTGTCATGTTTAGTGCAGGAAGAAACAGTAAACACTGGACTTTGTAAGGACAGTGCTTCCCTTGCAGGCAAAAAAAAAAAAACGACAAAAAACTGTGTAGCCGGTTGTGCTGAAAAGAAATGTTACAAAACAAGGCAAAGTAAACCGTTTCTAAGGTGAAATATAAAGGTAAAATCCAAAGTAGTCAAACACAGCCAATTATACCCTGGACCCCAGAGGGTTAAATCTACCTTTTTGCCCTGCATTGTAATGCCTCGTGGCCCGATGCTGCCCACAGGTCCAAGGCCTCCCTCAAGTCCAGGATTTCCTGGAGGACCTACTTCTCCCTGAAAAAATAAATAAATAAATAAGAGACTAATTCAAAGAAAAGTGAGACTTACAGGTAGATGGTTCTGGTCTGATTAAGTTCCCTTCCACTGTCAGTTGCGCATTGATGTAACACTCATTTATTGTGTATTGTGTATGCGTTAGTCCCAGTAGGGAAATTACTCCTCTGCATTTAACTCTTTCACCCAGTGAAGCAGTGGGCAGCCACCAATGTAGCGCCCGGGGAGCATTGTGTGGGGACGGTACCTTGCTCAGGGGTACCTCAGGGTAGCCGTTCCAACCTTCAGATCATGGGGCAAACACTCTACCTACTGAGCGATCCCTACCTACACTGTGACTGAAACTACATGGAAACAGCTGTTCAACAGCTGCATTTGTATTTTTTTAGCTGATTCTTTGCATATTTTCTTCAGGGAATATTTAATCGTTAAAAAAAAAGTAATGCCTGTTTGCTAAGTCTCCTCTTGTGGCAGGAGCAGCAGGGTTTAAGCTGTTCAACTTCTCAGGCAAAATGAGAAAAACCTGACTGTTATACACAAACTTCTAAATAAAGCCATGACTGCATCTGAAAGGTCTGAATAAAGCTTTCAGCTCACCTTTTGGCCATGTTCTCCTTTTTCACCTTTTTCGCCACGAGGGCCTGGCTTCCCCTGGGAAAGAAGACAAAGAACTGAGTGTTTAACAGTGAGGAATCATGCAACAAGTACTCTGGGTGTGTTTGAGGTGACATACAGGTGGTCCAGGGGGACCAGGAGCTCCAGGGACGTCAGAGGAACAGGTACATGTGTACGCAGGGGCAGGGCAGCTCTCCTCATCTCTCTTACACAGACACAATAATAAAGATATTAAGTGAGCAAATTTACACTGCTCTTAGAAAGGTTCTCTCAATGTTGCACCACCACTTGATAAAAAAAATCATGACAGCTATATGATTTTTTTGTGAAATAATAAGGGTTGAAGAAAGGTGAATGTAAATATTAGCACACTGACCACTCCAGGCAGGTCACAGCAGGTATCCTCTGAAGCCCACGTGGTGTTACAGACGATTTCAAAAGACTGCAGCTGAAACTGGAAGTGATGAAGAGCACAGAACAGACATTGAATACAGGACAGAGGAAGTGATCATCCACAGTTTTTAAAGGTATGTTTAGAGTGCATTAATAGGCTGAGCTAGAATTAATATCAAAGAATGTTAAATACCGGGGCTGAGCCACTGTTAGGTCCTCGGGTCTTCACCAGTTTTCCCAGCATCTCAAATCCATCGGTGGGCAGGTTGCCTAGAGGACGGGCTGGCCTCTCACCCACGTGCTGACAGTCCACAGACAAGGATACACTCACCTGGCTAACAGAAAGGTGAACCTGCCAAATGGAAGAAAATGTGCCGTTTAGGCGTCTGAGGTCTAAGTCATCATATCTACTAACACTAACCCTACCTCACACTTTGGGAGAGTCTTCCTCTCACAGTTCAATGAAATGCAGTGGGGTTAAGTTAAATGATGATCCTAAACTGCCCATCATTAAAACAAATGTGAGAGTGGACGGTTATCTCTCTGCCAGCGACCATAGGGCGCTTCTCAGCGTAGGGTAGCCTATTTTCCTAGTTTTACATTCACCTTGTGGAAACTGCCATAGAACAGCCTGTGGACCTGTGGCTGGTCAAAGGTCAGCTCCTGCACTTCACCTCTGTAGTCCAGACTGAAGTATAACAGGTGCTTGGTGGTTGCTGCAAAAACACAAACACACAGGATAATAAGGTCATCATTTGTTATTTCCCGTAAAAGCCACAATAATGAGCTTAGGGAGGTGAGTTTACAGAAATGTGTTCACTTCTGTTCTCTGTTTTTGTTAAAGAACAATGTAGACGATTAAGGGACTGCAACAAGTCCAAAGACATGCTTCCAGTGCAGGAGGCGGGAAGGTGCAGGCAGTGTTACTCACGGTCAATCACCACTCCCATCTTTGGCTGGAAGTCATTGTCTGTGAGCTGCCAGAGAGCAAAAGGCTCCCTGGGTGTATCCTGCAGCATTCGGAAGGCAATGCTGATGGTGTGCTCTGGGGAGAAACCTGCGGGGTGGATAAACCTGGAAGGATGGCAAGACAGACCGCAAGATTCACTTTTTTCTATCACTGACTAAACACATTTCTGTGAAAGTTTACATAATTTTCCTTTCCATGCCTGAGTCTCACAAGCACAGCACAAAAAAGGACCATGTGATGTTAGGGTTGGCTTATGAGACATGCTACAAAAATTTTGAAAAGCATTGCATTAGTGTCTATGTCAGTGAACTGGTGTTTACTCAAATTAAAATACAATGACAAAGAAAAGGTGGAGGACTGAAAGAAATTCTCACTTGGTGCTCTGTGTCAGTTGGACGTCTCTGTACAGAGTGTAGGTGGGGAGCGTGTTGAAGACAAAAGGCTCAGCTGCCACTCCCTCCACCGATGAGTGAGCTCTCTGAGTCAGACCAAAGGCTTCCATCATGTTGAACCCTAAACCAGCACAAACGTAACAGAAACACAGTGTGGTGCTTCCTTCGTAGTTGTTGTTGTTTGTTTTGTTTTTTTAAAGTTTCAGTTTAAAGGGAGGACAGCGTGTCTCACCTTTAACAATGCTGTTTCTGATGGTGACTTCAGGGCACACTGCAACACAAGAGTGTAAAAGTAGGCAAAAGTACTGCTGTATGCTCGGGTTTTATTCAAAAACAGTGTGTGCACACAGTCAAAGGAGCTTGCAAAGAAAAGCGTCTGGACTTCTTTAAGTTACTTGAAGTATACGATTCAAATGAATTGAATCGTATACTTCGTATACTTCAAGTAACTTAAAGAAGTCCAGACGCTTTTCTTTGCAAGCTCCTTTGACTACGATGACCTGGATGACTGAGAACCTTCACAGACACAGTGTGTGCACACACCAACTTCCTTAGAAATATTTCTTAGAAAACTTATTGTTTACAATTTAAAAACAAACGTGATCTCCATCGTATTAAAAAGCTTTGCATATCAGCACCACAGTCATTAAAAAACTATGCCCATTCTTACCAGAGGTCAACACTTTCACTTAATTTCTTTTTATATTAATCTTGAAGTTATTGTTTATTCCACAACTTGCTTCCGGTATGATGGCGCCTGTGTTTGGCTTCGCCGCTGCCGGGTGCAGTTTGTCACGTTCTATCGTCGTGTTTTTTTTCTCTACTCTGCTGTCTTTTATTTGTATCAATGATGTTCTGGCTGCCTTGGTTTATGATCGTTTGACGCTGTTATCAATCCGATCTTCAATGATGGCCCAAGATGTTCCATCTTCCTCCTCCTTTGGCACTTTCTATGCTCCGCACTTTCCCCCGCACTCCTTTGGCACTTTTCATCTACCGCCAGTGGCTGGATCCTCGGCCAGCGTTCTCAGCGTTCCCCGTAGTTCACGGAGAAGAAGAGGAAGGAGATCAGGTATCCAGGTGAAGCTTAGGCTTTTCTGGCGGCGGGGGCTGATTGGAAAGCGATGTCGTGCGGGTTTTGTTACCTATGCTCAAAACAGCTCCATAGAGAGGAATTTGTTCTCCACGGCCCTGCTTGGATATACAGGGCCTGGCTCTCCGAGACCGTGCTACCTCAGAAGGGTTCAATCCAGACTCTCCTGTTGACTGGCTTTTCATCCCCTCGGTGAGTGGAATATACGAACGTGAAGGCTCTAACCTCGAGTATTTACGTCCTTTAACTCGAGCTTCTCCTAATAATGATGCTCTCACCCCGCTGACTATGGCGCTCTTTAATGCCCGATCTTTGACTAATAAATCGTTTGTGCTTAACGATTTTATTGCTTCTAATAATCTGGACTTCCTGCTTCTGACCGAGACCTGGCAGCAGGGCTTGGACTATTCGTCTCTTATTGAAATGTGCCCAAATGGCTTTTCTGTCATCAGCCAGCCTCGGGGTTCTGGTCGTGGAGGAGGTCTCGCGGTGGCATTTCAGAGCCGTTTCAACTGCCGTTCAGTGAAAGTTGGACACTTTCTTTCCTTTGAATTGCAGCTCATTAAAATCGGTAGTAAGGATCCTTTTTACTGTGCTGTGGTGTATCGTCCACCCGGCCCTAACAGCTTGTTTTTAGCGGAGTTTAGCGACTTCCTGTCCTCCACTATGAGGTTGTCCAAATTGCTTTTAGTGGGGGATTTTAATATACATGTTGATGATGAGTCCGACCTGTTTGCCAGAGGTTTTATCAAAATTATGGATTCTTTTCATTTTACCCAGCATGTGTCCGGCCCCACACATAACAAAGGTCACACACTGGACCTTGTCTTTACCTTGGGTTTGAATATTGATTGTATTTGTTCTAAGGAGATTTTTATCTCTGACCATTATTGTATTCTTTTTAACATGTCTTTTCATGAGCCTATGTCTCCTGTTCACCGGACAGTTATGTCGCGCATTATAAATTCCTCCACAGCACAGAAGTTCTCAGATGCTTTTAATTTAACACTATCCCCACAAAACGGTGTTGATTTCTCAACAGATCTATTTAATGATCATTGTCTTTCGATCTTAGATGAAATCTGTCCGGTTAAAATGAGACCTGTGCCTGTTTCCAAGTCCCTACCTTGGCTAAATGACAACATCCGCTCTATAAAACGTGATTGTCGTAAAGCTGAGCGCTTATGGAGGAAAACTCATTTAAATGTTCATCTCCTTTACTTAAAGGATCTTTTAGCCTCTTTTAACAATGCAATTAGAGATGCGAGGGCTGCTTACTTTTCTCAGTTGGTTGCAAAGAGCAGAGGTAATCCTAAGGTATTATTTGACACTATTACTGATATTATTACTCCTGCTCCACCTGCTGCCATTATTTCTTCTAATGAAGACTGCGAAACATTTCTTTCTTTCTTTCTAGAAAAAATTAGTAATGTAAGGAAAAAATTGTCCCCATCAGCATCTGCACTGTCAGTTCCCACGCCAGTTCGGCCTGTTGTTTTAGAAAGATTTTTACCTGTTTCACTATCCGAGCTGGAAAAATAGTTAGTACAACAAAAGTATCCTCTTGTTCACTCGACATTTTACCTGCATCGTTATTCAAAAATGTCTTTTACTCTATTGGTCCCTGTATGCTCACTATAATTAACACCTCTTTGGGATCTGGCAAAGTCCCTGCTTATTTTAAAACTGCTGTTATACACCCCCTGTTAAAAAAGCCTATGCTGGACCCATCTCTCACTAGCAACTACAGACCGATCTCAAAAATACCATTAATTGCTAAGATTTTAGAGAAGATTGTGGCTAAGCAGCTTACAGCAGTTTTAGACAAATATAATATCTTTGACAAATTTCAGTCTGGCTTTCGTAGAGCTCATTCTACTGAAACAGCCCTTCTTAGAGTTTCCAATGACATTCTGATGCAAAACGATGCAGGTAAGTGTTCTGTACTCCTAATGTTGGATCTCACGTCGGCCTTTGACACCGTTGACCATTATATTTTGCTTGATAGGCTGAAATAGTGGGTTGGTGTATCTGGGTCTGCCTTAGAGTGGTTCTCCTCGTATCTCTGTGAACGATACTCTTCTGTGGCAGTTTCTAAGTACAGGTCATCTTCTACGTCCCTGTCCTTTGGTGTGCCACAAGGTTCTGTGCTGGGGCCCTTATTGTTTTTAATTTATTTACTTCCTCTCCAGCATATTTTGAGCCCTTTTGAGGATATTTGTTACCACTGCTACGCAGACGACATCCAACTATATATATATTTTTTAAACCTGAAGATGCTTCTAAGCTGCGGATTTTAAATGTGTGTCTGGAAACCATCAAAAGTTAGATGGCTGACAACTTCCTCCAACTAAATGAAAATAAAACTGAAGTCCTTGTATGTGCTCCAGACAGACATGTACCCAGCATAATGAATGCTCTTGGTCCCCTTTCAATGTTTGTGAAATCGTCTATCAGGAACCTAGGAATAACCTTCGATCCTGCTCTTACATTGGATATTCACGTCAAATCTCTGGTTCGGTCTTGCTTCTATCATTTAAGAAATATTTCTAAATTGAGCCCCATAATATCTCATACTGAACTGGAGATTGTTATTCATGCTTTTATTTCATCATGACTGGACTATTGCAATTCACTGTTCACATGTCTAAACAAAAGTTCCCTGGAGCGTCTGCAGATTGTCCAAAATGCTGCAGCAAGGCTTCTGACGAAAACATCGAAATACTCACATATAACACCGTTGCTTATATAGCTGCACTGGCTCCCTGTCGACTTCAGAGTCCACTTTAAGATTCTGGTTCTGACATTTAAGGCTCTTCAAGAACAAGCACCATCATACATCATTGAACTCTTACAGCCCTATGCCCCTAGTAGGTCTCTGAGGTCTTGTGGTCAGGGCCTACTTGTTATTCAGTATACGAGACTGAAAACTAGGGGTGATCGAGCTTTTGCTACTGTGGCCGCCAGACTGTGGAATTCTCTTCCTCAGAACTTAAGATCTGCTGATTCACTGATTACTTTTAAAAAACAGCTAAAAACACATCTTTTTAAAATTGCATTTTGTTAACTTTTGACTGTACTTTGTCTTTTTAATCTGTTCCTATACCTTGTAAAGCACTTTGTGATCTTTTATCTAGAAATGTGCTATATAAATAAAAGTTTACTTACTTACTTACTTAACTGCCCGATTATCAAATGGGCCCCTCCTTCCTTCTTTTATTCTGGTTTGTCATTCTTCACCTTTAAACATATTCTAGGTTAAACGTTTATTATTATTATTATTATTATTATTGTCTAATATTATTATTATTCAATTTTTTTCTTTGTGTTTTTGTAATTTCACCACAATCTACCTCAATACCGCATTTATATCTAAAAATATGGAAACACGCTAGCTGTGAATAGCTGGTGTGCACATGTCTATTTACAGTGATTCAGTCACTAACATGCAGTAGTAACAATAACAGTGTCTAGTGCACATGGTCCGTGAATCCGGTGGTAACTTTGACGGCACCCCTCTGATTTTTGTGCGCATACAGGTAAATGATAGTGTTGGTGAAAACTGATTGCTGCACAGGACTGGAACATATTATTGGTGGGCTATTGCCTTTCAGCTGGAGTTTGATTCATGCAAAGACAGAAACACACACACACACACACACACACACACACACACACACACACACACACACACACACACACACACACACACACACTGTGACTGGGGAATCTGCTGAACTCGTGTGTTAAATTCAGCCCAAAATATTTCATAGGCTACTCAGAAGAAGTTGAAGATAAAGTATACGTGGATCTAAAGATTTACCTTCATTGTGGATAGGGTACATCCGGGGATGGATGGCAATTCGGGCTGGAGCTGCAGCTGTAATAAAATTGCATTGAAATTATTTATATAGAATAATATATTACTGTTCATACATAAACTCTGAATTAAATTAGTTTTTGTGTTTGCTGGCCAATGATCATCTGTGTTTCTGAGAACATGTCAGACCTGTGGGATGGAGGATGGAGACTGCCGGGCCCTCTGCTGAGCCGAGAAGAGAGTGCACACTGATGCGATACAGAGTCTCAGGTTCCAGATCAGTGAAACAGTGGCTTCTGCTGGACTTACTCACAACTTCTTGCTTTGATTGCTTGTCTATGCACACATGCACGACAGAGTAAATTGCCAGCAATCACTGTATGTTCTGTTACAACTAATAACTCACATATAATATATTTATATTATATATATATAATTATTTTCATATAAATTATGAAAATAATTTCATATTTTTTGGATGTTTGTCACACTTAAATATTTCAGATGATGAAAAACATTTAAATTAGACAAAGATAACACAAGTAAACACAAAATGCAGTTGCTAAATGAAGGGGTTAATAATTAAGGGAAAAAACCCTCCAAAGCAGGTAGACAGCAGCAATTCATGGTTCTATTTACCGCAGCAAGTCTTCTAGGTCCTGAAGCAGAAAAACAGCTCCAGATAATACATTACCACCACCATGCCATATCAAAAAGCACCACTGAACGACACAGGAAATCATTCGGTCTGCATCCCAAGTCTGCAATTAATCAGGCCTGAGTATGTTTAGTGAAACTCAACTCAGCTTTCCAAAAAATGTAGTTAGTTACAGTTAATTCATGATTTAACAAGAGGGGCAATCTTTTTTTTTTTTTTCCCACAGGACCAGGGAGGTTTTCCTAATCTATGAAATCATCATTTAAAAACTGCATTTTGTATTTACTTGTCTTATCTTTCTTCTAATATTAAAATTTGTTTGATGATGCAAAACACTAGGAAATCAGGAAGGGGGCAAACACCTTTTCACATCACTGTAGACATGATTACAGAATACCTTTTACATCCTGGATTACAATACGATATCCATCAACGGCAGATACTGGTCTCCATGACACACAGATACTGGAGTGGTCTGACCTGACCACACTCGCACTGCTTACCCGCAAAGTGGCTAGAGAGACAGAAAAAAAGGAAGAAAACAAGCAAAAAACAAAAAAAAAACAAAGCCAAAGAATGTCATCTGCACACTAGCATGGACAATAAACGTAGACACAGTGCACCCAGTAATTTTTGAACTTACAACCAAGTATCAAGAGCAGTACTGGTATTGTACTGGTACTGGCTGCTGTCTCATTGTTCAGAGAGCCCATCATTATGCAGAGAAAGGAATCTGCGTCTCTGGACCAAAATGACTGTACGTGTAGTGCTGTAGAAACAATACTGCCCAAAAACATATGCATATCCCTCCTGTAAGGGTAAAGTAATGGGACATTTGCACTTTTTGCATGTAAACCTGTCGCTCTTCACTGGAAGTTGCACTTGAGCTGTCTTGACATCTTTCCCTTGTTTGACTCACCAGTTTTGCCCTGAGCTGAACCGCTGCCTCCTTCTCTGTTGTGGTACTCAGCAGTGACCAAGATGCTGTAGCGCGTATCTGGCTGCAGTGACTCCAGCATCACCTGCTTCTCTCCACCAGGGACCAGCACCTGCAGAGAACAAACAACACTATCATCCCAACACAGTCAGAACTCATTTAAAGTTTTGGGACTTATGGAATTCTGACACATGACAGCCGGCTGAAGCCCAGAAGAGGTGAAGATGTAATGACTACGACCCACTCACAGTGTGATCCTGGCTATCAGCTCCAGTCAATGCTGTGTAGGACACGCGATACTGGAGGACATGAGCATTGGGAGGTACCCAACTGATCACCATGCTGACGGCAGTCTCATCAGAAACCGTGAGGCTGGTTGGGCCTCCACCAGACACTGCAGCAACATCATAGAAGAGATAAAGTACCACAGCTAACGACACTTAACCCTCACTTTGTTCCTTTATAGGAGGAAATTATTTTGGCAGCAAAGCAAAGTGTTTTTTAGACAATAAATGTAAAGTATAACAGAGAATTTGATACTTTGATTTGATACTTTAACCTCACTACATTTATTTCATAGCTCAGAGTTCTAGTTACTCAAAGATGAGAATTTAGATGTGAAATTTAACCTTTAAGTGACTAGTACTTTGAGAACTGCCATCAATTACACAATGAAGTTCATTTACTTACAGGTTATTGTAGTAGTAATGCTATATTGTACAGAATATGACACGAAGGGCTGCTGACCACAGAAAAGTAAAAGGTAACTGGGCCTAAAGACTAACAGGAGAAAAACAAGCTTTCTGTGATTCTATGATTTTTATTTCTGTGTTTTTGTGGTAATCTTGGATATCTTAGGTTGTCTCATTACTGTCACATATGTCCTATCATTAAAACACTGGCTTCTAACAACTAACAGTGTCTCAAAAATAATGTAATAAATAAACAAATAATATGGATGCATGACTCAAATGCATGACTTTTAACTTGTGTATTTTTTAGGCTGAACACTGCTGCTAATGTGACTAAGGTAAATGGTTTCATCAGGCTCGCCCTTCCTGAGTTTGAGAAATGCTCAGGATCAGAAAATGTGTGACTCACAGGTGCTGTAGCGTATGGCCACAGCTTCACTCTGAGCTCCATCTCCATAGAGTGCAGACAGTGAAATCTGATATTCTTTATCATCCTCCACCCCTCCAAGAACTGCTCCTTCACTGTCACCACTCATACGCAGCTGAAATACACAGCAGGGACACACAGGACAACAGTTTATATCGTATTTTTTAATTCATAATATGTACTCCAGCAATCCAATAATTTTCCCCACCTGTCTCAGGTCGCCTCCACTTAGGGAGATCCACTTAATGAGGTAAGAAACAACATCATCAGCTGCAGCTTCCCAGCGCACCATGATGTCACTGTCTGAGAAATTAGTTACCCTAAGGTCTGAAGGAGGAGGCACCTTCACTAGAAGAAAAGAATAATGTGTATGGAAATAAAAAAAAAGAGAGAGACAGCTACATTATGACATTTCTCATTATTAATCAATAACATTTACAGTACTGTGCAAAAGCCTTGAGCCAAATGCTGAAGTATTTCTTTGGACATTATCTGTTTTTTCACTCCTTTTTAGTCCAGTTTTTGTACCTGACCATTTTCTGAGGAATGCTTTGTTTTGTTTTGTTTGTGGAACCACTCAGCACTGACCTACCAATCATTCAAGAATTTAAAAGCATCTAACGCAATTGATGAACCAATACTGTGTCTGCACATAACAGAACACTTGGGAAAGAACCGATTTTTAATCTTTAAGCACTTTTTTACTAGCAGCCTGCAACAAAAACACACCATTTATTCCCATTTCCTCAGTTCAATCTATGGAAAAAGAGCAAAGATAGCAAAGATTGCATCAACAAGTTTATACCCAAAAAACTATTAATAAAAAAGACAACATGAAGTCAGTTTGATCTAACAAATGTAGCCTAAGGTGATGCCTTCATGCCAAAAACAAATATTTTGTCTTACGTGTGGTGACGTTACTGGTGAGCGCTGCAGACAGGCCTTGTGCGTAGTGAGACTGAACAGAAATGAGGTATCTGGAAAGAGAGGAAAGGTTCTGCACCAGCACTGAGTTCACTCCTGTCACTTCCACCTGGAAGGATATTTAATATATATCAATGACTGACATGGCTGAGGCAGCATTTCATTTATCAAACATTTTGAACTGTTAATGCAGTAAATGGGACAGAGTACAGAAGCTTCTGTACATTAGTCTAAAGTACAGAAGCTACACTTTACTTTATTAACTTTACTAAACCATTAACTATCAGAGAGAAACTGCATGACTGCAAACATGACTCACTTGTCATATCAGCCTATTTGGAGCACAACACTGTGGCGGTGGTAAATTACAAGTGGTAATTTAGTACTTGGCAACAAGATGTCAGACCTCCAATAAAGCACAATTCTTTGCACAATATTCAAGAAAACTGTCCCCACTAAAGATGGAAACATCTTTCATTACTTGAGGCACAACCACACCATAGAGTACAACCAGGTTAAACAAATGACTCCACTGAGCATCACTAGTTAGACTCCATATGGCAGGAAGAGCACACTTTTACTGATGAGTTACCAATGGTAGTAAAAGTGAGCTTTTAGAAACTGGTTAAAAAACTTGAACCCAGATACAACATGCCATTTTATTAGGTGCTAATGAAATTGAAATTGTGTAGTCTCCTGAAGAGTTACAAGGCTAAGTTACCTATCCTTTAAGACTGGCTTGTTTGGGAAGGTACCTGCTTGACATCACTGCCGTGGTTGGTGCTGTAGGTGATTCTATGGCCGGGGACATCCCCAGCCCCGGGCACCCAGCTCACCTTCATCATACTGTGGGTGACCATCGGGAACTGAACACTCAGTGGTGTTGGGAGGGGGACTGCAAAGTAAAAAACGAAAGCAGAAGAACTTTGAAAGTGCACTCAAGTGTACTGAAGTAACTTTGGAAAGGTACAGTTACCAATGTCTATATTACAGAAGGCTGATCTTTGACCATTTTAGCAGAGGAAACAATGGTAGAGTGCAGAACGGTGGAGAAGGAGAAACGTTAAAATAGGAAATCATAAAGACACAGTGTAAGTGAAAGTGAAAAATCCGGTCTTAGACTGTTTAGATAATGTCTCACATGTGGTGGTAACAGCAGTGACAGGGTCGCTGGGTTCCTCCTCATAAAGCGCATAAAGAGTGACAGAGTAGTCTGTGGCTGGCAGTAATCCTGCCAGCTCCACCACAGTTTGTTCTGCACCAAATTTCTCCTGCAAATACAGAAACAACATCATTCATCCATCTCATTACTGAGCGCAGTGCTTTGTACTGGGACTGTATCTGCCAACATTAGTGTAAGGCTGAACACTGATGTTGTTGTGATGTGGTAATAGGCCACTAGCAGTCAGTAGTCTAAAATGACGGCGAGTTATTGAAGATGAATGTTTAGGAACAATAAGCTGCAATTACAAGGTATTACTTTTTTCTGTATCATTAACCAGCAGCAAAATATAGTCAACACATTCTGTCATCACCTCCTTGGCATCATCAGGCTCTCCGTGGCTGAGTGCTGAGTACAGGATCAAGTACTGTGTTGCGCCGGGTGCAGCACCCCAACTCACTTGCAATGTGCTGTAAGATGAAGGAGTCACTTTCAAGTTGGCAGGCATGGCCAGTGGCACTAAGAGGAAAACAGACATGTCTTTGTAGTATACACACTTTTGAGTACTTTGTTTGCTGAGTACACATGGTGTGTAAAGTAACAGTGACAGCAACCAAACTTCCATGGGTGTAGCTTTAACTTTAACTCCTTTAAATAATGAATCACATGTGTAACTGTACTATTATAACCTCACTATGATGCTTGTAGTATATGTATGTTTTTTTCCCTAGATGTGTTATTCAATGTATGTTTTTTCCCCTAGATGTGTTATTCAATCTGGATGAAACTTACTATATAAACTGCCCAGGGTACCAGTATTATTAATATCTATATAGCTTTAGGGAATTCTTTTTATAACACTAAAAGCTGTTTTTGCCAACTCACTATATAAGTGATATAATGAAAATAACATTTGACTGTTCCTTGTTATCAGCAGAATATAATTTAAGGGAATTCTGCTGACTACAGCAACTTCATACTTACTGATACTGTAGCACCTATGACAAAATTACCACATTTCATAAAGGATGGAGCTGGAATTACTCTACATTTGTGCTAACTTTCTATACCTATCAATCTTTAGCACCTTTAACACTGATGCTAGTCTTACATGTTGTGACAGTCCCTCTGAGCGCTAAGCCTACGTTGTCCTCATACACGGGAAAGATAGAGACGTGGTACAGAGTTTGAGAGGAGAGGCCTTCCAGCAGCACAACAGATTCTGAGCCAGGTAACACCACCTGGAAACAAAGCACTGCTTAGACTAATAGTCTGAAAACATATCATACATAAGACGTGACATACATATGATCGATCCGACAACTAAACCCAAAGAATATGTAGCAGCACTGGATAGTATTTGCTGTTCCTCTAAACAAGGATCTTATTGTTGCTGGACAGACATAGCACATGTTACATGTTCTACACATTCTGGGGGTTTTTATACCTTATGAATCATCTAGGAATATACATATATACATCTAGGAATTTTTGTAATAGCAGTGAAGTTCATTTCTGGACCTGGAAATTGTAAAATCTTCACATTGACAGTTGAGATTTGTTTACATAACCATCCTTGTGCTTTAAACCCATATGGCAACAGTGCCTGTGAACCAAGCAGCAGCCTCTGTGGCTAGAAAGTGAAAGTGAATGCTCCAACCCCAGAACTGAAGTCCAAATAGCAACATGAGACAGGCTTCAAAACAGGGGAAAAAAACCTTGTATATCAAAAATGAACAGACCACGATATCATCCACAGCTCAGGAGAGGCCTAGCAAACAGTTACAGGTTAAAACCGCCTTTTTTCACATTCATCTCTCAGTCAAGTAATGTAGAACTTTAAACCACATTCACATTCATAACAGGAAATAAGTCAGAGGCTGAAATGTTTTATGTATCAGACAGTAAACAATGCTTTTTAATAAGGAGTTAATAGGATACTTTTAAAGTCAGGTGGTTGCTCTTTTGTTATGTTCAACATTTAGCTAGCCCCTACCAGCATTAACATTTATGCCTCAGCTCAACCTTCTCATCCAGATATGATCACAACCATATTAAAACAATCACAAAGATACCAATAGCAAAAATGCTAAACTTGATGTAGAGTGGTGCCTAACCCCATTTTTATTTACAGCATGTGAAAAGAGGCAAGATGCTAACCTCCTGTGGACTCTGACTCTCAGCACTGTGGTACACAACTCTGTACTGTTGGACCGGCTTCACAGGATTGGTCCAGTGAAGCTTCACCTCTCTGGAACCAAGTTCTGAAAACCGGAGATCAGTAGGACTGGGGTAGGAGAGGGTCGGATCTGCTGTGGAACCAGGCTCCATTCCTGAACACACAGAAACACAGAGCATTAAATCTCCAGGAAACATCTGATGCCATTAAAAACAACTCAGTTTAAGGCAGAAAAACATAGATAGCTACAAAGATGGGTGGCATACGCTTTGTGATGCCACGCTCCTCTATCCTCCCGCACAATATGTGGACCAGGCGTGCCACCAGCTTGCTGAGCAGAGGGAAGTCATTAACATTGTAGACATTCAGATCCACTGGCTCCGAGGCCACTTGTCTCAACTCCGCTTCATCAGCGTTCTTTACACCTGAATAACACCAAGTTGTGCGTTAGTTTAACCAGCTAAGGACATAACATGTTAAAATAAGTAGTGGAACCCCTTCTGAATCTAGTCTAATGGCTAAGTAGTTTTAGTCTAAAGGCTAAATTGAAAAAAGGAAATCACTTGACCTGCTCTACTTGCCCATCTTACCGACAGCGATGATTTCAATGCCTGCATTTTTCAGCCGGGTGGCTGCAGCAATGGCATCATCCTGAGATTTCCCATCAGTCAACAACACCAGAAAAAACGGAGTGTCAGATCTTGCACCCGCACTGGACCTCATGTTCTCCTCCATGACATGGAGTAGTGCCTGACCTGGAGACATGGTTAGACACTGACAAATGCACGGTACACATGCAGTATCAAACAGCATCAGCTGAGTGTGTACCTGTAAATGTGTTTCCTCCCTTATATCTGAAGTTCCTCACTGCCTCCAACAGCTGCTCTTTAGAGGTGAAGTTGTTAAGGTGCCATTCTGTGCGTGGGTCTCCACTGTACTGTGTCAGTCCTAAAACAAAGATTCTAAATTATACATGATTTTATCATCTATGTTAGTTCATAACAGACAGAATCAAAAAGACCGCCAAGTTCTTCTCTGAGTGATCCATTTCAATATGTCTGTGCTTTAATTGTCCTTACCTTTTGTTGTCACCTCATAAACAACAAAAGGTTGTTTATGATGCTGGTTTTACAGCATTTTTTATGGAAATAATGGGTGTAAATAGTGTTGTTGCACCTTATATGAAGGCAGCACAATATGATAAAGTGTTGCACACATCAGGGGATGATGACATGAAACCTTGGCATGGTAAGTAAAAGTCGATATTTTAATAACTTCATGCACAAATGGGAACAAGCCAAATATTGATTTGACTTGTCTCTGTTTGAGCCCTGTGATAGCCTAGCAGCCTGTTCACAGTGTCCCCAGTCTCTCACCCTATCACAGCAGGACTTATTCAAGATGTTTACTGTCATGTACACCGCAAAACACAAATAGTTACGCAGAGCAATGGAATTCTTACTTTGCGGGTTCCCTTCACATGACTAAAACAAAGTATCTGTATTATATCTGTGACCTTGACTTTATTAACAGGTGAAGAAGAAGATGAATGGATAGATGTGTCATGGTCCGTGGTCCTGTGTGTGGAATGTGTGATGCGCGGGTAGCCACACCCCCAGGCTGGGCCGTCACCGGCACACCTGCTCTCCATCGGGGTGATTACCTGAAGAGCTACTTAACCCGGCGCTGACTGATGCTCCACGCCAGTCCGTTAATCACCTCTCTGTGGTAACTAGACTCCCGCGAAAGCGTTGCATTAATATCTTGTTGGAGCTGCGTTAAATCTGCTTACTTGTGTCTAGGTTTCGATCCGGCATTCAGCGTCTGCCACCTGCCTGTCCTCCTGCTCAATTGGATCACCCGGTGCATCATCTGGCCCATCCACTACCTCCACGGATTTCCCTCTCACGGACTTCCCTCCCCAGCTCCCACGGTCCCGCTCTAATCGTAAGCCAACTGGTCTAACTCAGTTTTGATGTGTTTCCTCCGCTTCCCAGCTCCCTAGTAATCTTCTCCCCTTTCTGTTGCAGCCTCCCACGGACCCGATTCCGGCTTCCTCGCATCATTGTTTCCCCGGGTTTTTTAGTTCCTCGTTTTGCTCCTTTGGTTTTCCCGGGTCGCCTTTTGTTATTATAATAAAGTGTCCTTTTCTGCTAGCGCTTGAGTCTGCATTTGGATCTTTTGTGCACGCGCGCCGCGGCGCATGACAAGATGGATATTTCGTTTGTATGAAACATGGTAGAACTTATTTTATCTAAACAAATAAACACATGTAACATTAGTTGGGTGATTTCTGGACCAAAAAATTGAATTCATAAATGTTCACAAAGGATGAAAATAAACCAGTAATATGACACATAGCAGCTCATACACTAACCACTAACAGGGAGGAGCAGCGAGCCTTGGCTGCCATGTGGGCACATTATATAACCCCGTTCTCCTGGTCAGCCTCTTCCCACATGACGGTCAGATGTAAAATATCGCAAACGGACTTTGAGAAATGTAGGATGGAAACTTTATATAGACCATTAATAATAAACAGTTAATTCGTAGTCAAGTCACCGTTAGTTAATAGTTTATTACTATTAATAATCTATGAAATACTGACTAATAACCTTTATAAAATGGTTAATAGCTGATTTGTAAACAATGTAAACAATACCTGGATGGTTACAGTAACATTTCAACATAAAACTATAAAACTTTAATAAAGACTGCGCAGTGCAGCAATAAACGTTGCATGATGGCTCAATAGCAGTCACTGTAACAGCTATTCATTATTTATATGCTTAAAATAACTATGTTAAAGGAAACACTATGAACCTAGTCTATGAATCGTTCTTTGACTTGTTAACTTTTGCAAGCTGTTTGGTTAAGTATACATACCAAATCTAATTCATTTAGGAACACAGGCGCTTTGGATTAAATGAGAAAGCTGTAGGCCCACGCTAAAGAATACAAACATTTGTGTGTATTTGTTTCCCTGAGACTGTGAACAGGTTCAGGATCAGGGATCAGTAATAAAACCAATCAAATAACAAAAGTAGCTGGAAAATACACCATAAAGTATATAAAATGTTATGTGTCCCGATGACAACAGATTACAATTTTTATTACATTACACATTTGACTGTGTATAATTTATATTTTTTACAAAGTATAAACATGAATTATAAAATTATGTAGTAGTAAATTATATGTGAGCAATAGTGACAGTAGTAAATCTGCGAGTACAACAATAAAAATAACCTACAATAACAACCAGAAGGCCAGAAATGTAATGAGCAAAGCAAAAAGAGAAACAGAGTGATGTCAATACTCCTGCAACAGTGTGAATGATGATGTCAGGACATCTACAGTGTGGCAATACTTCTATTTGAAATCTACTATGACTTTCACAATGCTAGTGATGAGAAATGTTTTCACCACCATACTCCACGCTCTGTTTCTCACCAATCTGAATGTGATTCGGTCCAATGTGGAAAGGTGTCACTAGGCCCTCCAAGAAGTCTCGGACGCGTCTGAAGTTAATGCGTCCGATGCTCCAGGAGCCGTCCACCAACAACACGATGTCTGCAGCTGCATCACTCGCACATTCAAATGGTTTTCTTGAAGACATACCTTAATAAATAACACAAGAAGCAAAGGATGTAAAGAACACACGTACTTTAAATGAGGAAACAGATGGCACCAAAACTGTTTTTAACGTGAAGGCGTCTAACTATTGTGTACATGTGTCGACATGGTGCACAGATGCAGGAGTGAGCTTTCATGCATGTGAACGTCTGTTTCTTTCCTTCGATTATAAAGGACAGAGGCGAAACAAATGCCCTGTAGCCAAACAGAATGGTCTGTCATTATCGCTTAGCTGTCCCTCCCCCCTTTAAACACTGTCATCACATTTCAAACACTTACTGTTAAGTTACAAGAGAAGGAAGCTGGTGGAGGCCAGACATTACTTTAGTTTAAAATGAGTGATCACTGCTATTGTGATTGGAGATTCTGTCAGGTTTATGTAACACTGGAGGGCACTGTTTATTGGTACCTGGCTGGGTGGGAAATGGGCTCTTTCGGGGTTTCTCCTGAGCTGGTTCACCCTGTGTTGTTCCCTGCTCCTCCTTGTTCTCCATCTTGGAACGATCCCGCTCTTTCTTCTTCTTCCTCTTCTCTTTGCCACTTTTCTCAGAGGTCTTATCTGGGAGTTCAGAGGGGGTATCTGTAACTGGAGGCTCTGGAGAAGAGAGGTAATAGTAACCACTTGGGTGGGGTTACAGTAAGATAAGCCAAAATTGTTTAGGGGACCAGATGAGGCTGTGCATGACAAGAAATCTGATGACTTTAGATTAGTCTGAGCTCATAAGCATCAAAGGGAAAGTGAGAGAAAACCTTCTTTAGCTGTTAACAAATAAACATTTTCATTTCATGATAAACATTTGATAAAGTCAGAAAAAAGTCCACAGTTTTCCCCAGTAAGTATTTTGACTTGTTTATGAAACTGTGTGGGAGTGAATAGTTGCCAGCAGCCAATGTAGTGCAAAAGAAAACATGTATGACTATGGCTCAGATTATGTGAGCTTGTTGCTAGCTCAAGTCAGCTTTGTAAGCATTATCCATGAAAGAGACAAAATATATGTGTCCTATCTGATCACGCCACTGGCTGTGTCCTTATTCTGCTTTGTGTTGTTTTGTGGTAACTTTTACCCAAAACACTAATATCATCAGCAAAGCACGTAGTATTCAGAGATCTATTATTCTGATGAATAATAACATGTCTCAAACTAACCAATCGTGGCAAGAACATGTTGTGTGCTCTATGTTTTTGTTTTGTGTGGCTTTGTCACTAAGAGCTGTCAGAAAACACCTTAACCCCCCAAAAAACGTACAGGACTCACTATTTTTTTAATATAGAGTTATGGTCACAAGCTTATATACACTCATCATGGGCATGAATGTCAATTTGGGGTTAATTTTTCTTTCCATCCTCAATTACTAAAATAATAATTAATCAATTAAATGAATTAACTAATGAATGAATTCATTACTTTAATTACTGAGTGCACAAGGTAGAATTTATTTGGGATTTTCGAGATTTTTTCAAAGTTTTTGACAGTAAAACCTTTTTCTAGAGGGCATTTGAGTTGTCCATATGGGAAGCTACAAATCTCAGTCAATGCTCAAGGTGTCAGTTTTGGAGCAGGGGCCTCTTTTCATAGTTGGCGCCCTCTCTGTATATGGTGCACAGAGCTAGATAAATATCCATGGAACCTAAGTTGCTTCACACGCCATTATTTAGGAAACTAATAAAGGATTACACTGGAGCAAGCACAATATTCAATAAACTAGTGGCTGTGATATAGTGGTCACTACTATCCCTTGTGACCATAGCAACCCATTTTATAATATGTTGCTGCTTAAAAGGTTAGCATCAAGGGAAAACATGAGAGTCTAAAATTGTCAACAATAATATTGTCTTTCATATTTAATGCTATCTACCACCATAAACTACCTGTAGTACTGGCAGAGGCAGGAGTGGTAGTCGTAGGTTCTGGATACAGAACTGTTGGTACATCCAGCAGAGCCTCTGTTGCATCTTCCAGTTCTCCTGATCCTGACCCACCTGGCAACAACTTCTTCCTGTGCTCTCTGGTGCCACTGCGGATCATCTCCTCCTCCCGCAGAGTCTGCACTAGAAGAGAGAAATGTTGATCATCTGTGTGTATATATGTATATATATATATACATATATACACATATATATACATATATACATGTATATGTGTATATATATATATATGTGTATATATATATATATATATGTGTATATATATATATATATATATATATATGTGTATATATATATATATATATGTGTATATATATATATATATGTATATGTATATATATATATATATATATATATATATATATATATATATATATATATATATATATATATATATATATATATATATATGTGTATATATATATATATATATATGTGTATATATATATATATATATATATGTGTATATATATATATATATATATATATATATATATATATTATATATATATATATATATATATATATATACACATGGTTCACGCCTACTGGCTGAAGAAGCTGACTGCACTCCACGAGCGTCTGGCAGCACAAATGAACCAGCTGCTAGTTAACGAGAGACACCCGGAATGGCTAACTGAAGGCCGGACGGTCCTGATCCCCAAGGACCCCAAGAAGGGACCGGTCCCCTCCAACTACCGACCAATAACCTGCCTCAGTACTACATGGAAGCTCCTGTCAGGCATCATATCGGCTAAGATGAACAGGCACATGGGTCAATACATGAGCGGGACACAGAAAGGAATTGGCAAGAATACCAGAGGCGCAAAACACCAGCTACTGGTAGACAGAACAATCAGCCGAGACTGCAAGACCAGACTGACCAACCTGTGCACTGCCTGGATTGATTACAAGAAGGCCTATGACTCAATGCCCCACAGCTGGATACTGGAATGCCTAGAATTGTACAAGATCAATGGGACCCTAAGAACCTTCATCAGGAACTCAATGGGGATGTGGCGTACAACACTAGAGGCCAACTCCAAGCCCATAGCACAAGTCACCATCAAGTGCGGGATCTACCAAGGAGATGCTCTGTCCCCACTGCTGTTCTGCATAGGCCTGAACCCCCTCAGTGAGATCATTAACAAGACTGGCTACGGATACCGACTACGGAACGGAGCAGTTGTCAGCCACCTCCTGTACATGGATGACATCAAGCTGTATGCCAAGAGTGAACGAGACATCGATTCACTGATCCACACTACCAGGCTATACAGCAATGACATTGGAATGTCGTTCGGACTGGAGAAGTGTAGTCGGATGGTAACAAAGAGAGGGAAGGTAGTCAGAACTGAGGGGATTGAACTACCAGAAGGCAATATTGCAGACATAGAGGACAGTTACAAGTACTTGGGGATCCCGCAGGCGAATGGGAACCATGAAGAGGCCGCTAGAAAAGCTGCAACCACCAAGTACCTGCAGAGGGTCAGGCAAGTCCTGAGGAGTCAGCTGAATGGTAAGAACAAGATCCGGGCCATCAACACGTACGCCCTGCCCGTGATCAGGTACCCTGCTGGGGTAATAGGCTGGCCAAAGGAGGAGATAGAAGCCACTGACATAAAGACAAGAAAGCTCCTTACCATGCATGGAGGGTTTCACCCCAAGTCCAGCACCCTGAGGCTGTACGCTAAGCGGAAGGAAGGGGGCCGGGGACTGGTGAGTGTCAGCACCACAGTCCAGGATGAGACAACGAACATCCAAGAATACATTGGGAAGATGGCCCCAACTGACCGAGTGCTCAGTGAATACCTCAGGCAGCAGAAACCCAAGAAAGAGGAGGGAGACGAGGAACCATCATGGAAGGACAGAGCCCTGCACGGTATGTACCACCGGCAGATAGAGGAGGTGGCTGATATCCAGAAATCCTACCAGTGGCTGGACAAAGCTGGACTGAAAGACAGCACAGAGGCACTAATCATGGCAGCACAAGAACAAGCTCTGAGCACAAGATCCATAGAGGCTGGGGTCTATCACACCAGGCAAGACCCCAGGTGCAGGCTGTGTAAAGATGCCCCAGAGACAATCCAGCACATAACAGCAGGGTGCAAGATGCTAGCAGGCAAGGCATACATGGAACGCCATAACCAAGTGGCCGGCATAGTGTACAGGAACATCTGTGCCGAGTATAACCTGGAAGTCCCGAGGTCAAAATGGGAGATGCCCCCAAGGGTGGTGGAGAATGACCGAGCTAAGATCCTGTGGGACTTCCAGATACAGACGGACAAAATGGTGGTGGCTAACCAACCGGACATAGTGGTGGTAGACAAACAGAAGAAGACGGCCGTAGTGATCGATGTAGCGGTTCCGAATGACAGCAATATCAGGAAGAAGGAACACGAGAAGCTGGAGAAATACCAAGGGCTCAGAGAAGAGCTCGAGAGGATGTGGAGGGTGAAGGTAACGGTGGTCCCCGTGGTAATCGGAGCACTAGGTGCGGTGACTCCCAAGATAGGCGAGTGGCTCCAGCAGATCCCGGGAACAACATCGGAGATCTCTGTCCAGAAGAGCGCAGTCCTGGGAACAGCTAAGATACTGCGCAGGACCCTCAAGCTCCCAGGCCTCTGGTAGAGGACCCGAGCTTGAAGGATAAACCGCCCGCAGGGGCGTGCTGGGTGTTTTATATATATATATATATATATATATATATATATATATATATATATATATATATATATATATATATATATATGCAGTTAGTGGTACAATGGATTACACATGTGACTACAACTCAAACTACTCTAGACTAGACTCATGGTTAAAGGTCAAAGAACCTTTATGAGCCCACTGTAGTCACTTCTGTCTCCGGTTATTCACTGTGCTAAAAGTTGCTTTAATTCATATGCAAACACAAAAGGAGAAAAAACTGTAAGATCTCCAAAAGTCTTTTTAGCATATCTTTGTCTGGAATTAAGGGACAAAAATTCTCAGTTAAACATTTATTATGTTTTCTATGTTATATTGTGAATACAAAATGGGTTATTAAGAGCTGCAAATGAGGATGAAAAGTAAGAATTGCCTTGACACAGTAACAGTATTAAATAAGTAAGGGACCCTGAGGGAGTAAAAATAAGATCAAGACACATCAGGAAAGAATTCCCAGACTGCCATCATTCCAACATGGCAGCCGGCGTTCCGAATTTCCAAGTTGAGGCATTTTCTGGCCTGCCTGGACACGCTTACCTCGACACAGTAATCTAATACTTCTTTCATCCTTTGCAAGCAGCCAGAGGCTACATGAAAATATAACACAATCACATGAGAGAATCATTTACACCTTTACAATATGTCGACTGTGAAAGGGACTCACAAACTGGGGAGGAAAACAACCCAACGGGCTACAATGACCGAGTCTAAGCCTCCAAACACAAGTGACCCTTCATTAAAATGAATCCTACTATTTCTGTCATTAGGAATTAAATTAAATTAAATCTGCTCTCCTCCCTGCAAGCTGCTCCTGCTTAAACACAGTCACGCAGTGTGGGTGACTGTGAGAGGCTCTCTGGCCCAGAAAGCCATCATCGACTGTAACGTTACCAGTAAGTTTGTGTCAGAAGGCAGATTTACAATCCTGGAGAAACACTCAATCCAAGCATGTAATCCAACTGGTAATATTAGTACTCAGCCACTGTGAGCGTGAGGTTATGGGCTTGCATGTGTAAAAAAATGATCTTCAGAATATTATATAAGATGACAGCTGTCACTCATTTAAACATTACAATCTACATGAACCTCTTGATTACTCTCAACAACTCAAATATATTTATTATCTCCTACTACTATCTCTGCTCAACATACAAAAAGCTTCTTACTTACACTGTAAGTAGGAAACTTAGTTTATATATAAAACTAATATATAAACTTACTAAATGCTAAATATATAGTCTCACAACAGACAGACGATTTTAAATTGTCTCCATTTCTCCGATCAACCCTGCTGTCTTTCTTACTTGTGAATCGTCTCTTTGCAAGAAGTTTCTCTGTCGTCCCATTGAGCACAAGGACCTGGAGGTAATATTCCTGACTGGAGTCCAGACCTGCCACTGTTGCCCGGCCCCGGGTGGTAGTCAACATGAGCTCTGGCTGTGGCACCTCTGGAAAAAACAAGCATTTGGGGTGACTAATCTTTCTATATATGTAAAGCGAATTATATAAAAACACATCACTGTGTGACATTGAAGACAGAGTTTGCATAACTTGAATTATGCTTGAATTCAACAGGAAACATAATAGAAATGGCAACTATTTGTGAAGCATGTTTCTGGAGATAAATAGTCATTAATGAATTAAAATTGTGATGTATCAACTTAGAAAGTTCATATACAAATTACTGATTTCAAATTTTAGAAACATGTGAGCTCAAAAACTTACCAGCTCTGCAATTTTGACATCACTCCTTTGTTTGCCTTCGTAAGTCAAAACTTTGACTTCTTATGTATAATTCTGACATACGAGGTCAACATTTTTACTTCTATATTATATTTTATATAATATATTTTAGTGGATCATGCAAAACTAGGCAGTATATTTTTTATTGCTGAAGTTATTAGGTAAGCAATAAATCAGTGAACAAAACTTCATACCACTGCCATATTTTTCTGGAACAAAAACCAAAAAAGACCAGGACTAAATCTTAACAAGGGTCTTTTGAACAGCCAACAGTTCCTACTTTTTCTTCATCTGATCTAAAAAATAACTTTTACACACTTTCTACGGTGCATTTTCATCTGATCCTTCAAATTCCAGATACCTGTTGAAAGTCTGGGCACTTCTTTGTAATGACTTTGGCAGAATTGGACAGCCTTACCGCTTTAATCCTTTCAGCACAACCTTTTCATTCTCTTACTGGCATCCTACAACTTTAAACACACTACAAAAGTGCTGCATTAACTTCTTCTTTTAAGTTCATCTCTGTCTCTCTCTTAGACCTGCCTAGACTTAGCTGCGCTGTGTGGAATGGGAGCTAAAATGCCGACAAAGAGAAAACAATGCTTAGGAAAAATCACAGATGTGGAGATAGAGGGGAGGAGAATGGGCTGTATTTTTATCCAAATTATGACCTGCAAAGCAAGAGAGCTGGCAGTCTGGATGGCAAAAGAATACTTTACCAACCCATTTTTAAGCAGTTTCAAACTAGACGGGATGTGTGGTATAATAAAAGCTTATGAATAAACTTCATGATGTTTATTATGTCATTAAAAACGTATAATTATTATACATTTGAGACACTTGGGAGCGAGTGTACTGCTGGAAACCATAGGAAAATGTTACATAGCATTTTCAGGATTGAGTGTGTTCCTGTTGCTTCCCAAACACAACCTTACTTGATGTGCAAAACGGTGTTGGAACATTTAACAGAGAAGCAAAAACTTCACACACCAGATGTGCATCATTATACTAAAATACCTCTGCACAATAATACAGGACAAATCTCTTATTAAATCAATCAAGTGGCAGTGCCTGTTCATTGACCGTAGAGCCCAACCAACATATCGGCCAATATGATGAATCAGCATTTGCAGTGGCTGATAAATAAAAATCAAAGAAAGTACAGAAGAAACACCATTCAGCCATGTTACGAGTTTTGATGTTGTACCGTTTGTCTACCAGAGGATACTCTGCAACTTCCTGTTGGCAACACGCGTTGCCAACACAACCAAAATGTAAATGAACAGTCCACGAGTTGTAAGAGTAAAAGAACCGTATTTGTAACTGTACTGTTATCTTAGTGAGTACTTACATGAGTTAGGGAAATCTGTTTACGCTTTGTGTGGATGAAAAAAAAAATTCTCATAATATATTGTTAAATCACCAAATATTGGTATTGGTCTTAAAAATGCTATTTTGGTGTTTGTTCTCTTCTTTTAGAAAATCCTATCAAGTGATATTCTTAATCCTCCCAAACCTTGATGACCAGTGGGTACCACCTGTGAACGCTACCAAGGTTGTTGTTTTTCTTATTTTTCCTACTCTGAGGACAACATGTGATTTCAGCCTAAGACCTGATTCATACTTTCAATTTCATTCCAAGGCTTTTAGATAGACTTTGTAGGTATATCAAATTGGAGGAGCTCCTAACTCTGCTGTCAGAGGACTTTCTTCACAGCTGAAGAACTCTCACCTGAAATCGGTCTCACTCTGACCTTGTAACCCTGAACAGGCCCATCAGCCTCCTTCCACTTCATCTGCAGTCTGTCTTCAGACAGGACTGTCAGCTTAAGACGACCTTGACAGAGACAAAAAGAAGAATAAAAAATATCTGGCTTTAAAATGTTTAGCGCATTTTTCTGGTTAAAGACTTGGGTCAAGGGAAAAAGTTGACATGACATTTGCAGACTTTTCAAAGATCAAAGACACAAGCAGTGAAACTTTCTTCATTCTTCCCATTCTCTCACTTCCTTCTCAACACATCAAATTCATCTCTTGTTCTGACTTTATCTACATAATTTCCAGCAGAGTTTTCCCCAACAAGCAGTGTCTTTCATGTTTCCATCATGCATCCATCAAAGCATGCTCTGTCCTCCCATCTAGCATAGAAACAGGAACAGGACGCCAGTTGGAGACTGCAGGTTCAAAGGTCGTGTCAGAGGAACGTCACAAAGTTACACTGTGACAGGGTTTTGTATTTACTATGCAGTGGGGTTATAGATGGAGAGGAAGATGGGGAAGGAGGGGAGGGGATGCAAAACGGAAGTAAAGAAGACATGAACAGCATGAATTACAGAACTTTATAACTTGTGTGAACACATGACCCTCAGCACTCAACAGATCCTTTCCTGACTAGCAAGCATCCATGTAAAGGCCTCTGTCTGCGACTGTGTACTGGGCCCAGGGGCCACTGGGGGGTCTTCATCTACATGTGTGTCTGGCAGGGAATCACATAGGGACTGACGGGACTAACAGTCTAACAGATCCACTAAGAACAACAACTTTTCCAGACAGACAGGCAGTTATGCAGCCAAATACAGTATCTGTATTGTGCTCTACGATTTATGGGCTAAGAACAGCTGGATTTGCCTACTATTTCCAGTTCAACATAGGGCTGCTCAATTAATCGAATTTTAATCACGATTATGATCTGGGCTTTCAACGATCATTAAAAATGACTGAGCCGATTATTAGCCCCTCCCTCATTTATCCGCGACACCTTATAAACCGGTCCTGGCGCAAAAAAGGTTGGAGACCGCTGATTAAGAGGACCCGAGGGAAGCTCGGAAAGCTCGGAAAGCTAAGCAGAAGTTATTTGGAGAGGAGAGTGACTGCCGTTGGTTGAAAAGAGAGGTAAAAAAAAAAACTTCAGTGGTGTTGCACACTATTTTATATTATTTTTTAAAGTCATTGTTAACCCTTTAAAGCCGGTCAAAGCAGCACGCTCCGTTTTGTGTAACTATTTTTAAATCCCTGTAGAACCTGAACCGTGTAAGCTAGCGCAATAATTTGTTTTGCATATGAAACCGGAGTTGTTGTACTTACATCTTATGCCATCAGCTTGTCCTCGGTCACGGGTTCCTTCCACATATAGCTTTGCAAAAATTGCATAAAAAGCGCTTGCAGGAACAAAACCGTAATATTCCAGAAACACGCTTTGCCGATCCGATCAGCTGTTCGTAACACTTCCCACAGTGAAACAGACGTCAGCGCGAACTATCGCATGTTCGCCATTTCCTGGCCGAAACTGGAAGTGACGTCATTTTCACGGAAAATGTAGTTTTTTTTTAACTTGTAGGCCTTAAAAGCCTATACTGGTCATGTTTGACTTTTCTGAATAGTTTCTGGGATGCTTAGAACTCAAATTGCACTGCTGGAAATAGTTTATTTTGATGCACCTGCTGTTTTTGCATCATAGGATTGTTTTTTTGGTTTTTCCTGCAGTATATAAAAATTGGTGTATCTCCAAAAGAAAACTATGAAGACACTCAAACTAAATTTCCTGTTGTTGTAAACTATTTTTTGCAACTTTTTTGTATTTAAAGTTTTGAGGGATAAACCTCTTAAATTTCTCCAAGTAGAAATATATGTAAAAAAACCAAAAACGATTTTCAATTTTTTTGTAGTTTATTGCACTTTTTTTGCAATTAATGTAGTTACTATGGACTTAATGCATACATATTATTAAAATATGGGCTATAACAGTTAAATAGAAACTTGAAATGCTTCCACAAATGGCACTACAACATGTAAAAAAATAATATAAGCTCTGGCGGACTTGGTTCTATAGTAGGTCTTAAAGGGTTAAATAAATATCGTCAAATAATCGAGATCTCAATTTCAGTGAAAATAATCGTGATTATCATTTTTGCCATAATCGAGCAGCCCTAGTTCAACACTCAAAATATAATAAGTTCCTTGAGACTTGCAGATTGTTTCTTTTATGGGATGTAGTATTAAGTAACGATGAAGTCCATCCATCCATCCATCTTCATCCGCTTATCCGAGGTCGGGTCGCGGGGGTAGCAGCCTAAGCAAAGAGGTCCAGACCTCCCTCTCCCCAGCCACCTCCTCCAGCTTGTCCGGGGGAATACCAAGGCGTTCCCAGGCCAGCCGAGAGATATAATCTCTCCAGCGTGTCCTGGGTCTGCCCCGGGGCCTCCTCCCGGTGGGACATGCCTGGAACACCTCGCCCAGGAGGCGCCCAGGGGGCATCCTTGCCAGATGCCCGAACCACCTCAGCTGGCTCCTTTCGATGTGGAGCAGCAGCTGCTCTACTCTAAGCCCCTCCCGGATGGCCGAACTTCTCACCCTATCTCTAAGGGAGAGGCCAGCCACCCTTCGGAGGAAGCTCATTTCCGCCGCTTGTATCCGCGATCTCGTTCTTTCGGTCACTACCCACAGCTCGTGGCCATAGGTGAGGGTAGGGACGTAGATCGACCGGTAAATTGAGAGCTTCGCTTTTACACTCAGCTCCCTCTTCACCACGACTGACCGGTGCAGCGTCCGCATTACTGCAGCCGCAGCCCCAATCCGTCTGTCGATCTCCAGCTCCCTTCTCCCATCACTCGCGAACAAGACCCCGAGATACTTGAACTCCTCCACTTGGGGCAGGAACTCATCCCCGACCCGGAGTGGGCACTCCACCCTTTTCCGGCTGAGAACCATGGCCTCAGATTTGGAGGTGCTGATCCTCATTCCCGCTGCGTTACACTCGGCTGCGAACCGCTCCAGTGCGAGCTGGAGGCCCTCACCCGATGAAGCCAACAGAACCACATCATCCGCAAAAATCAGAGATGAGATTCTGAGGCCACCAAAGCGAAAGCCCTCCGCCACTTGGCTGCGCCTAGAAATCCTGTCCATAAAAATTATGAACAGAACCGGAGACAAAGGGCAGCCTTGGCGGAGCCCATCACCCACCGGGAACGAGTCCGACTTATTGCCGGCAATGCGAACCAAGCTCTTGCAACGGTTGTATAGGGATTGAATGGCCCGTAGCAATGGGCCAGACACCCCATACTCGCGCAACACCTCCCACAGGACGCCCCGAGGGACACGGTCGAATGCCTTCTCCAGGTCCACAAAACACATGTAGACTGGTTGGGCAAACTCCCATGCACCCTCAAGTATCCTCGAGAGGACAAAGAGCTGGTCCAGTGTTCCGCGACCAGGACGAAAACCGCATTGTTCCTCCTGTATCCGAGGTTCGACTAGCGGACGAACCCTCCTCTCCAGCACCCTGGCATAGACTTTCCCGGGGAGGCTGAGGAGTGTGATCCCCCTGTAGTTGGAACACACCCTCCGGTCCCCCTTCTTGAAGATGGGGACCACCACCCCGGTCTGCCAGTCCACAGGTACTGCCCCTGATCTCCACGCAACATTGCAGAGACGTGTCAACCAAGACAGCCCTACAACGTCCAGAGCCTTCAGGAACTCGGGGCGGACCTCATCGACACCAGGGGCTCTGCCACCAAGGAGTTGTTTAACTGCCTCAGTGACCTCGCCCCCGGAAATCGGTGGGTCACACCCCTCATCCCCAGACTCTGCTTCCTCCCCGGAAGACGTGTCAGTGGGATTAAGGAGGTCCTCGAAGTATTCCTTCCACCGCCCGACAATTTTCTCAGTCGACGTCAACAGCGCTCCGCCAGCACTATACACAGTGCAGGTAGAGCACCGCTTTCCCCTCCTGAGACGCCTGACGGTTTGCCAGAATCTCTTCGAGGCAGTCCGAAAGTCTTTTTCCATGGCCTCTCCGAACTCCTCCCACACCCGAGTTTTTGCTTCAGCCACTGCCCGAGCCGCATTCCGCTTGGCCTGTCGATACCTGTCGGCTGCCTCCGGAGTCCCACAGGCTAACCAAGCCCGATAGGCCTCCTTCTTCAGCCTGGTGGCTCCCTTCACCTCTGGTGTCCACCATTTGGTTCGGGGATTACCACCACGGCAGGCACCAACCACCTTGCGGCCGCAGCTCAATGCAGCAGCTTCGGCAATGGAGACGCTGAACATGGTCCATTCGGACTCAATGTCCCCAGTCTCCCTCGGAATGCTGTTGAAGCTCTGCCGGAGGTGTGCGTTGAAGATCTCGCGGACTGGGGCCTCTGCTAGACGTTCCCAGCACACCCTCACTACGCGTTTAGGTGCACCAGGTCTGTCCAGCGTCCTCCCCCGCCACCTGATCCAACTCACCACCAGGTGGTGATCAGTTGACAGCTCAGCCCCTCTCTTTACCCGAGTGTCCAGAACATATGGTCGCAGGTCTGGTGATACGATTACAAAATCGATCATCGACCTACGGCCTAGAGCATCCTGGTGCCACGTGCACTTATGGACACTCTTATGTTCGAACAGGGTGTTCGTTATGGCCAAACTGTGATTAGCACAGAAGTCCAATAACAAAGCACCGCTCAGGTTCAGATCAGGGAGGCCGTTCCTCCCAATCACGCCCCTCCAGGTCTCGCTGTCGTTACCCACGTGAGCATTGAAGTCTCCCAGCAGGACAACAGAGTCTCCAGGTGGAGCACCTTCCAGCACCCCCCCCAGGGACTCTAAGAAGGCTGGGTACTCCGAACTGCCACTCGGCGCATAAGCGCAGATGACAGTCAGGACCCGTTCCCCGACCCTAAGGCGCAGGGAACAAACCCTCTCGTCCACCGGGAAAAACCCCAACGTACCGGCAGCAAGCCGAGGGGATATAAGAATACCCACCCCAGCCCGCCGCCTCTCACCAGGGGCAACTCCAGACTGAGACAGAGTCCAGCCCCTCTCCAGGAGACTGGTTCCAGAGCCCAGACAATGCGTAGAGGTGAGCCCAACTATATCTAGCCGGTACCTCTCAACCTCACGCACCAACTCAGGCTCCTTCCCCACCAGAGAGGTGACATTCCATGTCCCTATTGCCAGTCTTGGCAGCCGGGGGTCGGTCCGCCAGGGCCTCCGCTCCTGGCCGCCACCCGGCTCACGATGAAGTAAATATGGAAACTAGCAAAGTCTCAAAAATACCTCAAAGTAATTGGTTTGTCCTTATATGTTCATTGTGACATGGTGAGTTGTTCATTATCAAACTAAATACATACATTCAGCATAATAAAAACTGTGCTATAGAGAAACACAGTCTTTGGATGATTATGACTAATATGGTTACATTAGTTCAGTTCATTTGGTTTTGGGAGTGACTGCTTTTCCAGAGAAAAAGACCTCGCTATCATTCTCTTCATAGCAAATATGTTTTGATGCTTGAATTCAAATAAAATCATTGACCCGATAACTTGTATGCTGACAGTACCAATTAAAAAAGGTTCTGCCATCCGTGCCAACCTGATTTTTCTTGTCACTGTGTGGATACACAATGACAGTGACACACAGAAAGCCTCAAAAGCACAGACATCAAATGCATAGAACGTCGGAATAACTGTTTGTATAAATGTGGGTAAATGCTACAGAACACAAAGTAGATACATTATGCCAAAGTTTGTGGGTACAAGACATTTATGTGCAAAAGCTACACAGCAGACCATCAAGACATCAATGCGACTTCACTATTAGCTTGTTTGGTAAGAGTCAAATGATTATTAGATATATGTGTATACCTTGGCCATGGACAGCAGCAGACAGCAGCAGGACACTGAGCAGGAAAAATGGCATTAGCCAGGAAGATGACAATGATGTAGCAAGGAGGTGAGGAGACATGAGTGGAGTCTAGAAATATAAAAAATAACGCTGTCAGTATTATTTCATTTATGTATGCTCTTATTTTTACATACACACACACACACAAACACACACAAACACACACACGTCATTAGGTACACATGTTCGACTGACTTTTGACGGAAATATCTAACCTGCCCAATAAGCTGGCAGCAAACCAGGCATCAGAATGATAAAGAAAGGTGATTTAAGTGACTTTAACCATGGCACAGTTGTTGGGTTTACAGAGAATGGTTTGAAAAGAGAAAATAACCAGTGAGCAGCAGTTCTTTGGGTAAAAAAGGCAACAGTAACTCATAAAGTCGATTTTTACAACCAGGGCATGCAGAAGAGCATCCCTAAATGTACATATCGAACCTTGAAGCAGATGTTCTACAGCAGCAGAAGACCACACACAGTTTCTGCTTCAGCTAAGAACAGGTAAGAGGAATTCACACAGCACTAGATAATCTATGATAAATGGACTGTTCTTATATAGAGCTCTTCTATGCTCTTTGAGCACTCAAAGCACTTTATGCAACTTCCTTCATTCCCACAGTCACACACATTCATACACCGATAAACACATCAGACAGCAGCTTGCTCAGTATCTTGCCCAAGGGACAGTCTGTATGCAGTCTGGAACAGCCAGGGACCAAACCACCAAACTCCTGATTATTAGATGACCTGCTCGACCTTCTGAACATGTAAAAAAACAAACAAACAAACAATGAATTTTTCATGATGGTGTGTTTTTGAGTTCAATTATTTCAGCTTTTCAGATTTTGTTTTTTAATTTTCTATTTCACAATATAAGATTTGTGGATCAGATTAGAATTTATAAATCAAACAAATGAACCAGTCATAAATCGTATTCTACATTTGTATAGCTCATTTGAAATATATATTTCTACTTTGGAATACCTTTCATATCAACATAATGGGGGAAAAAAAGCTATTAAAAAACAGGTAGTTTTCCCATGGAAATTTTTATGTCTGACTCAGACTACAGATGTGCCTGATTTTGTCCAATTACAGACCTCAACACAGCTAATGATACACCAGGCTATAATATTAACAAATGTACAGCCCTTGAAGAGGCCGTAAACCTACCATGCTTCTGTCTGAGACCCATTAACACTTTACACAACATCCATTAAACACCTTCAACTAATTCTAGATCCCAGGACTGAACTTATTTTATATATATCAAATGTTGTGTTTTTTACACTCCAAAGAAGGAACATTATTTGGAGTCTTGGAATCTTCTAAGAACAATAATTTATTGCTCAAAGCTAAAAGACCAAACTAATTTTTTAAAATCCCACTTCCATAAAAAAAAAGAAAAGTTCAGACACCATGTAAATCACAAAGAATTTAAAAAATTTAAAGCCTTTAATCAAAAATAGCCAAATTAGTTTTGATTAAAAATTTTAAATTGGTACTTTTCAGTTTTTTTGATTTTTAAGAAATCTGTCCTCATTTCAATTTGGTGCCAGCAGCACATTTAAAAAATGTGGTGGGGTGGCAACAGAAAACAAAACAACTAAACTAAAACTGAGAGAACATTTACAACCAGCTAGGCAACCAGCAGCATGTCACATGCATGATTTGCTCTAAAAGCCCTCTCAAGGAGTCTTTTATATGTAAAGGGAAGGTTTAAGAATATTGCTCAGGATCAAACTGCAAAGAGTTTAGGAATTTCAGCGTCTGCTTTTTTTGTTCCCCAAAAATCTTACTAGAATTTGTAATTTTGAAAAACCCTGTAAAACTGTAGGAAGATGATCTTTAGAAAACAAGGACGAAAGGAATGTCATTTGTTCTTTGTGAATAAGAACACTGTTCAACAAACACAGGCTGAACAAAGACACAGTTAACACAGCTGGAGTTCACAGACCAGCTCGGCTTATCCACAGCTAACTGGTGAAGTGTGACATGGAAACACAAGTAGAGATAAGGAGAAATATCAACACACATACAGAGACCCAAAGATACTGATTTCACTGTAATAATTTATATTAACAATAATTTGACATACAGTACTGTGAAAAAGTATTTGCCCACCCCCTGATTCCTTTTTGTTGTTGTTGCATTTTTCATACTTTAAACCCCAGATCATCAAACTACCACCACCATGTTTGACTGCTGGTGTGATGTACCTTTTATGAAATGTTATGTTAGTTTTACATCTGATGTATGGGATGGAAAGCTGGTGGCAAATACTTCTTCACAGCGCTGAACACTCATTGTTAGCATTTTGGACTTATTTTAATGGATTCCTGCCTGAACTTTCTTGCTTGTCTCAAGCACAACAGGCAACCATTAGAAGAGAGTTTAACCCTCATCCTACCGACATATTTAATATGCATGGATTAGTTATATAGTTATTGTCATCTAAAAGAATTATTAATTCAAATTAATTAAAAATGAATATGCATATTTTATATAAAACAAGAATCTGTACTTTTCTTTAAAACAACTTGCATCTTTTATCCAAAATGTAATTCATGTTACTTAAAAGCTTATTTATGATCTTTTGAGTGTGGAATCACTTAGTTTTCAATCATTTTAAATAAACATTATTTCTGTTGTATTTATATGATGAAACCAATCAGGCTTCAGATAAACACACAACCAACCAACCCAGAGAAACAATCTCTACCATGTCCTGGGTCTGCCTTCTAGAAAAGTCCGAGGTGGTGAGGATCCCTGAACTCACGTCAACGGCCTTCTTTGGATGTGGAGGCATGGCGGCTGCACTCTAAGTGCCTCCCTAATGACTCAGCTCCCATCCTGCCTCTGAGGGAGAGCATGGACATGATTCAGAGGGAACCCATTTCTGCTTTTATTTCATTTTTCCGTCACTATCCAGAGCTCGCAACCACAGGTGATGGTTGGGACATAGATTGAACTATAAAGACCAGTGTACCAGTAGCAGTGCACCAAGCCGTAGAAAACCGAGATGATATCCTGAGACCACTGAACCCTCCACGCCCCCCCTTACCTTGGCTGTGCCTAGAAAATCTGTGCATAAATATTATGAAATGAATCAGTGATAAAGGGCAGTCCTGTCTGCGCGGCCTGACTTTCTGCAGGCGGTGCAAAGAACCAAATTACTATGATTGTGCAGGAAGCAGAAATGTCTAGAGATAACTAAAGTTAATTTAGTTGCCACTCAGATTGGGGATTGTCATGCAGCGGTATGAGCTCTGCTTTTAATGTGTGGCATGACTATGTCCATGCCACTTTACTAAGAACTAATTGACTGACAAAGAAAGAAAATACATTTGATATATGACAAAAAAATTACCTCTGGGGTCTGCACGGGCCCCTGACAGTACGATGAGTGTTAAAAGACATTTCCAACATGCCTATCCGATGTCATCGTGTGAAGTATGTGATGGAACTACATTGGGGGTTTTTGTATAGTTTTCTCATGTTTCACATGTGCCTGCTTGCCTGAATGTTGCAAAGTCAGTGCTTGAGTGGCACATTGTGCACTTATTGATGTGCCTGTCAGACAGAGAGCAAAGGAGTAGTAATGTTATGCAGTTCCTGTGGAAGTCCTTTAGTTTTGCTTTGAACTCATTTTTCTTGAATGAATCCAAAGCCACAGGCTTATTCTACAAATTATTTTTACTTAATAATAAGACAAGAAATCATTGCACTGGTGTTAAAGACATAAAAGGAAATATTCAATCTAAAAGACTGGATTTATACAGGGTATACAGTCACTCATTTCTGGATGCCTTTACTGCCCTTGGAGTGACCTCACCAGGAAAAAAATGACACCATCACGAAATAGCTTGAACTCCGGCTAACTGTTAGGTACCCAGGTGGCAACACTTGACCCTGGATATCAAATTTCAGTGTCATGGTTCACCTTAGGTAGAAGGTTTTAAGACAGCTGGTAAGAGCTATGAGGTAAATACACCTGGAAACAACAAGTCAGCAATTTAAATGATGAAACATGCTTTTGACGCACTTAGTAGAACACGCTAATAACCACCGGATATAAAACTGTAGCTTGTTGAATATAATTAAAATAAACGCTTAATATATATTTAATTTACGTCGAATTAAATACTGACAACTATTTTAATGTACACACGTTTTACAATAATGTTAAATAAGTGAATTCTTTAAAGTTGTTAAGAAATTAGCTGCTGGAGGAAGCTGTTTTGACGCAATATAGCACGCCAATAACTGCGTAGATATATCTAAAATAAAGGTAATTCATGTTTAAATGACTGATAATTAAATACCGATACTTGTTTTTAAAGTACACATAACTCGCACAGTGCAACACGTTAACTGGTGTCAAGCACCACAAAAGTAGCACAAGTTTGCTTTTTGTGTGGTAGGTGTCTCGCAGGTCAAGGTGTTTGGGATTTTTTTTTCTCAGCAGCTTGAAACAATGCACTGCATCGTAGGTACAGGCTACAGTAGGTCATTTATCTAACACCTCGGAATGAATAAAAAGAACACCGTCACAAACGCACTTGGCCGTTTTCTAACACGGTCGCTCTCAGAGCGGCCAGGTGAGCTCTTACCTGGCGGTTCGGTGAGTCCAGTTTATTCCGCACTGCATTCCAGAGGCGGGATGTCAACATGCGCAGGTTTCTGCTCCACTTTGAAGCCTGCTTCCTCTCAACAGGTCGTATCTGAACGTTTCAGGGTGAAATCTGAGAAGCAAGGCCCTCCTGCTGCTCCGGCATGGGCGTGGCACTCAGAAGAATGCTATAAAATCCTCCACACAGTGGGAGACACTTCTACAACCATAGGTTTGAGCTATCCTATGTAACGTACAGTGAAATATTACCCCGCTTGAGCCGCATACAGTTCTGCTATATAATACCATGTGCTCTACTTTGACTGCCATATTGCAAAGTTAAACACACAGTGTGCTTAATCAACGGCGAGTACACTTTATATTCCCATCCCTTAGTGCATGAATAATTAGTGCATTAATAATTTCCAACAGATGTGTTGGAACACGACTTTATTCTTGAGTCTAGTCCGGTATCCAGCTCCCAGGTTGGAAGTCAAAGAGTTTACTTGTGTCGTTTCAGTACAGCGCAGTGCAACACACACACACACACACACACACACACACACACACACACACACACACACACACAGTACAGAGGAAAAAATATTAGATTTTAGTGTTTTTTTTTTAACTTTTAGATTCGACCAACACTCCAGAACCAGTGAAGTGTAGATTCAGATGCACTGCAATGAGCATGGACTCGTAACTTGTGAGTGTACAATTAGGTCCATAGTAAGTACTGACATAGAGTTTGTGATTGTGCACTAACTGCCTCTGAAATAGCACCAATTCACTAATTTTGTCCCATCTCCTTGGATTTAGGGTATTTCCATGTCTCGCCTCTGTAACCTTGCATAGTCTGGGGTCAGGCTCCATGAAGTTGAGATTAAGGTGGTGCACAGGTCACATCATCTAATGAATGACTCAGTTTTTCTGTGACCACACACAGCACGCCTTTATGCCTCTGGTTTGGATTAATCCTACAACAACGTAAATCTGGGATGAGCAAACAGCTCCATGATCGTTAACAGAAACCTCTGGAATATCAAAAGTAACGAAAACAAATTTTTTGTTTATTTTCTGAAATAACACTCAAACAACACTGCATTTAAAGAAAATCATGACAAAAAAAACAAACATTTAGAAATGGCTTTAAACTCTAACAAAGTCATCATCAGTTATTAAAATTGTTCCTTCCATCTGCTTATAAGGCACATTAAAGATCAGTTTCACTATTCATGACATCTCAAATTATGACTCAAAAAGGCTGTAGACAATTATTGTCCAATTCAATAAACACTCTTCAACTCTACAAATTAAAATATGCAATCAATGAATATTTTAACTTCATTAGCAAAGTTAGAATTTTAGGCAAAAGTCCTGACATCAATCTGAGCTCTGTAAAAGCTGACTTGTGTCTTTGTAATGTTTAGTACTTTATGATTATTGAAATTTCTGACATACAGAGGCCGTCATCCATTAAACAGCTGATTCAGTCAATGCAAAATGAATCTGATTATCTCTGAGTTTGGGATTGGGGGAAAAAAATCCCAAGCCCCAAAAACCACAAAACAAAAAATTTTAAAAATGAAATTTTGATGGCAGTTAACTGACTAAACTAAAAAGTAACCTCAGGATTTAATTCACTGAAGCTCTGCAGTCTTTCATGATCCATCTGTCATCTATTATATTATCTAAATCTAATTACAAAGCCAACCAAAGAAATAGGAATCAAAGGAAGCGCAGTAATCCATTTTTACCATCACTAACTTATAATATTAAAGTTTGCACTCTGCCTCGTCAGCATTTGCCCATGAAATAAGTTATCCATAATAATTTGTCAAATATATGAAACGATATGTTAATACTGCAGAGCTGACAGAGAACTGATCCACCAGAGTCGAGGTGCCAAAGTATCCTGTTAAAGCTGGAGTTTACTCCTTTGCTCTCCACATATTCTTTGTTAATGCATGCATGCATCTGCTACATTTTGAAGGTAAAATGTTATCAGCTGTGCCACGTTTAAAGTACTATGTAAATATAGAGTCCATAAGGAGGCCCTGAGCCAGACTGTGACTCGTGGTGGGGACAAAAAAAACCAAAAAAAAAAAAAAACAAGAGTCCCACACCTGGAAACACTTCTCTGACATCACTGTTCAAACCATCTAACAAAAGAGTAGGGAAGGAATGTGCAGCATGGAGACCGTGTCCAAGTCCTGTCAGTGTAGAGTGATCTCTTCTTCTTCATCACATTCATCAGTAGCCGAGTCCTTACTTTCATTCCCATTTCGCTGCAGTAACGGCAGCTCAAGTTCTGGGCTCTTACTCTTGAGCTGCCTTAAAGAAGGACCCTTATCTGATGGAAGATAGAAAATTTACACCATCAGCATGGTCACCACCCTGCAAAGTCTCCTTCCTCCTTTCCTTTCTTTCCTTTTTAAAGATTCTGAAGAAAACTGTGACATTACATGTAGAAAATGTGATATGTAAACTAGAAATCGGAGAACAGACTGTTCGGTGAACAAGGGCACATTCTCAAACGTAACTTAAAACAAAAAAATTTACATATTCAAAATTCCTGGATTTTACTAAAAGGGAGCTTACCAATGGTTTTTGTGTAGAAAATAAAAATATATTATATGCCATTAAAAAAAAATGCTTTGAGTATTTTTATGTTTTTAGGATGTAGAGCAGTAAATATGGTGAAAACATAAATAAAACTTACTTTTAGTATAATATGTCTTGAGTCCCACGTGTAATGAAATACCACACAGACACACAGCAAATCCCAGCCAGTTGAGCATACTCATTTTGTCTCCCATCAGAAAAGCGGCTAAAAGCAGAGTGCATACTTCCTGCAGGAAATCAACGCAAGGAACAGAGAAGACTTCATTAGACAGCTCTGAAAAAACCCAAGTCCACATGTAACACAGTAACAATCCCTTATTTATTACATAACATTTTTAGAACATATTTACAAGTAAGTACACTGAGATCAAAAAACAAAACAATGTATGTGTAGACATACTTAGTCAATAAAGTTGATTTTCATAATAAAGATGTTATATGCTTACATCCAAAGCCCTAGTGAACCCTCTGATCTGTCAGAACATCCACAAAGATTACACATAACTGCTTTAGTAGCTCAGAGTAAGCACCAAAAGAACCGCAACCTCCCATATTAAACTCAGCTATGGCTCTGGTATTGCGGACAGATTTCTTTGGCTTCACCAATCTAATTCAATTCTATTGATATAGCACCAATTCACAACAGCAGTCACCTCAAGGCACTTCTAGTGGCAGCCATCCACCAGCTGGAGGTGAAAAAAAAGATGTTGACAACACAGAAAGTAAGTAATTACCTTAAAGATCCCTGATATGGATAAGGTGAGGCTGGAGGTTCGGGAGACCAGCAGGAACTCAGAGAAGCCCAAACCAAAGGCCAGCAAGCCGCCAATGCTTAATGTGAAGAGGGAATACAGGAGAGGCGAGAGCTCCGTCACCCGGAATAACTTCTCTGAGGTGCTGAGGCTCAGCCCTGCAGGCACAGAGGAAAGAATCAGGACAGATTTTTTAGGAGTGGCAGCACTCCAGGTAGATCGGCAATTACGCAGTTACAATAGTTTTCCACGGACTGCTTATAGGGCTTGCCCACTCATGTCTTTTGAAAGTCCAATATCTTGTAGAGATTTTATAAAGGAGTTCCTTTTTGTTCTTCTAATGAGAGGCGTGTGGTGAACCACACTGCCACTTCTGCTTGAATCAGCAGTGTTTTATTTGTAGATTACAGCTCTGGTGTGCAATGTGTTGGGATTCAGAGATTCTTTTATTGCTACCATATAATTTGCCTTATGAAGAATGTATTAATAACATGTTTCACAGTATCATGTATCAGTAATATTTCCTACAGGGTTTATATTGCATTGAATATGTCTGTCATCACATTGACCTTTCTATTTTTATAGGTTGAGTTCATTTTATACACAATGCATAAATGTGCTTGGTTAGAGTTGATGTTCCATTCTAGAAGGTTTTAAGCTTCACTGGTGAGAGTGTCCAGATGATACATGCTGAGGGGAGATGAGAACATAGCAGGTTAATTGCATGCATGCTTACAATACACATATTAATCTAGTAGCAGGTTTGAGCAAAGGCCTAAGCGTCTTCTGCTTCAGTTTGAGACTGGCTGCAAAGTACTCTACTTAGTGATTAATGATGAGGGTCCATTATTAGCTCTCAGAGATGCTAAGACCTGAAGTTATTACCCTAAAAGGCAAGTAATGTAGAAAAGAGAAGTGATATGTCGGTGTATGGTTATTAGAAGTGTACGTGATGTACCCTTGTCTGCACGGGTTGAACTTTTGCCCGTCTGTCACCATGTATTTTTGAACTGTATTGACGTAGATGTGATATTTTATCCTATAAAACCAGAACCCAATGTATTCTTGTCAGAGCAAAACAATCCGTATGCTGACGGTTGGTTGTTCTCCTGTGATAATAAAACTCATCGTTTGATTGCACTTTTCCGGAGCCTCCGTCGTTTTTGTTGTCTGGTCTAAAGTTGATCGATCTCGCAACAAATGTTACGTGCTTGACTGTGGCACAAAAGCAGAGGCCCTCTGTCACTGAGCTACATCTGGACTGATGTGCTCATGTGAGTCCCCTCAGTAAGGCTGCCCTTAAGAACAGTGAGACCACTTCTCGTAAATTCCATTTCATAAATTATAAAGAATTTGGGATATCATTTATCTGAAGTGAAGGCAGCTGGACCACACCTCAAACAATCCCCTTCCACTCCAACGTCCACAAATGCATACTTGTCCCACACACTTGTTTGTTCTTGTTCCTGTGCTCCATCGTCTCACTCCCATGTCATCTCTGATCTGCCAGGCCAGGATGAACCGCGAGGAGAGAGAAGACGAGGCAACAGGAGTTTAACAAAATGCGAGATTCTTGCAGCCTTTAAAGCAGTGTCGGTGAAAAGAACTGTGGCTACATTACTGGACCAGTTTTTTGCTTTTAATTACATTCACGGTGTGGCACAATGTGACGCATGGATCTCTGCCTTTGTTTATTATGTCA